GTCTATACCATTACTTGCTGCTACCACAAATATTATAACATCAAGGCACTTCCCATGTCCTCATAACAAGCAGAACAAGGCTACAAGAAAATCTGACGTTGAAAGCCCTGACTTTCTCGAACAGCTATTCGCTCGGTTAAGGTTGTGGTGGTCAGGCCTTGTTGCTGTCTAGCAACCTGATTATAAGATTGCAAGCTTATTGTTCTTTCGCACAATAACCACTTTCGACCACAATACCAACTTTTGAGAAGAACTTGTACAATACACTTCCAGGAACGACAATACCAATCACCCTCTTTTTTGATACTTGTCGCTTTGCGAGAAACTTAATCTGCTTTTGATTCTATTGTGAGTACTCCAAAGACCTCATATAAAAGAATACACTTGCATCTTCCTCAATTTCCCTTGAAATCAAAGTCTCTCGATATCCCATCTCATCACAGAAAGCAAACTTCGATCTATCAAAACTCACGATTTTCACAGGCCTTTCAAACAGAAAATTCCAAGTGTCAATCATCCAAAGTAAGTGATCCTCAGCATTTCCATCGTTTTCATGGTCAATTTCGCGACCTTTCCATCCTATCATTTCAGCGAAGAGCCTGCTTTACAGACCTTGAGACTAGCAATTCTAACTTGCGTCCCAACAGGATTTTCTCATACGCCATTCTTGTTGATCAAGATCGTGTATTTACCATTGAGTAAGTCAAACCTTTGAGCTGATACAAGTGTCGCTTGCTTTCATATTCTCCATCGCTCCCACTTTCCTCAACTTCTTTATTCCCACCACCATTCCTCCTCCGACATCGCACAATCTGATTCTCTCATATATTTCACCGACGTGGTATCTTGCTACTTGTGTTTCCCTTCGTCTTTCTTCAGCTTGAAACACATGCCTATATCACTTATCCTTTTTCATCCAAATCCTATCTTTCTCATTCAACATTCATGTATAGCGTACCAAAACCGAAAGTCGCATATCTAACTCTCAGAGTAGTTCTTGAATTTCTGCTTACCTGTTCTCTTCTAATACACCTAATTTGTAAGTGCCGTTGTATTCCCCTTCCAATTCGACGAGTTCTTGAAGACTTGAACGTATGCTTACTCCATAACAGTTTGAAATTAATACTTCGAACCCTCTCTGTCGTCTTTTTTTGATTGGAGGCTACTTCAGCGTTTGTATCTCACCGATAACAACTTTCCGCGGCCTTTCTTTGCCGCCAGAACCGACCCAACAAGTTTTCTCGATATACGATCAGTAAGTGTTTGTTGTTGCCTCCGCTTTCTCGAACGCCTCTTGGAATCGAATGTTTACTGACTTTGAAGCAGAATTTCGCCGGTCTTCGTCTCTGTGTCCTTTCCTTGGCACCAGAAGCAAACTTTCAAACATCTTCTGAATCTTGACCCGTAAGTGATCATCTCTATTCTCCGCTCAGCGAGAATCTCCGGACTGGACAATTGCTTACGCAGCAACAGTATACCAAATCTGAAGCCCCTCGCTCGTTGCTATCGGCCCTCGGAACTCAGCACAGTCAACTCTTAATACCAAGTTCCAGTGTCGTTTCTATCGACACCGAAGATACAACATCGAATCCTCTTCCTTCATATACAACTGTCTAAAAAAATCATGTCTCCTACTCAGTAAGTACTTTCAATTTAACGCGGTGCCGATCTCGGCATTGCATTTGATAGATTACGCTAACTTGCCAAGTAGCAATAACATGAGCTGGTTTGCCAACATGCCACTCGCAAGTCTCGCCGATTTTAAAAACGCTGCGTGGCTTGATCTTGCGCTTACAAGAAAGTTCGTCGGCGAAAAGCTATCGATGCGACTTAACTGGCTCAATCTTGAAGTGAAGTCCGTTAGATATAAGCCATTGGGCCAAAATATCGCGGTAGTTCAAGTAGTAGCTCGCAAGAAGGTCGCCACAAACTTTTCAATGTTTCCCGAACTTCCTACCGAGTTGCAGAACAAAATTTGGGTCATGGCATCGCTGAATTGTTCTCGTTTTATCTCAATCGTCGAGGAAAATGTCGATATTGCCACACACCCTGATGCAGACCAGTACAGAGTCATCGGAGCCACGCGTCCAAGACTCTTATACACTTGTAAGGGGGCTACTTCTGCTATGGTTGGCATCTATAAGCCAATGTTCCAGCTTGATGCGAGCAAGTACCATGGAACCAAGAAGGGCGTTATGGTCAATCCTGACATTGACATCATCGATTTTGTATCTCTTCTCAACTTTCAAACACCACCACTTGATTTTTCTGGGGCTCTCTTGAATTCTGGAGAGCTCTCTATGATTCGTAATATTTGCTTTCCTATACAAGAGTTCCATGACAACTTTCAAGCCGTTGCCCGAGTTATTCGCAACCTACCTTTACTTGAAACTATGGTCGTTGAGACTAATCAAGTCGATCCAACGCTTTCCGGCACTCTCCGCATTGAATTTGTGTTCGCAGACATCCATTACGCTAGACCTAGCCGATCACCACGCACTGAGATGACCATAATGCTCATGCATGGCGGTTTCCATTTCATCGGTGCACAGGCCATTGCAATACTATTCAATGACGTTACCAACCCAACTCATCAAGCTGGCATCCTTGAGTCGTTGGCGAAGGTAAATATGATGATGCGAATTGAGGCGAACTTTCCTGACAAGATCCTTGCCTCTTTCGTCTATCGTAACCATTGATGAATTATCTTGAGTTCTTTCCGTTCTTTTCCAAGGTCGGTGATTCACTCTCTTGCTAAATATCTCGTGTCTTCATTAACATCTTGCAGATTTGAGATTTATTCGACATATTTGTGATTTTCCAAATACAATGGCTAGGGTCTTGCTTTGTTAATTTAATGACTAATGACTTGTACCGCCGTTTGTGGTGGTAGAATGTTTTGATATTGGTGCGTTGGATGCGATCGGTTTTTGCATTTTCTCTAAGACTTTTTTGGTCAATGAGCTAGCAATACTATTAGCTGAAGACCTAAAGAACCAATACATACTTGATTTCGAATATACATTTTTCCCCTATGACAGCGCTGTGATGATTGTATGATGGTGATCCCATAAATTCGAAGCAAATGCTTCCATGCTACCCCGAAGTCGTGGCAGACTTGGAAAGGAAAATTTGACAATGGACGGCAATTTGGATTTAACCTCAGCCTCATCAAAATAAGCAACAAGAAGCCTAGCGCCTCTTCAAGGGAGCACTCCAAGTATTTGATCAGACTTGGACCAGTGCTGATTGAGATGCTGGGCAAATTTATGGCATCATGACAGTTTGCAATGAAGGACACTTCCACGACGACTGCAATTCAGTAAGGACTTTAAGAAAATCTCAAGATTCGTTTTGAAGGAAAGGCAACATAGCGCAATCCTAAATTCCGAAGGGAACTCGCCAATCAAGGTGGCCACTGGGTGTTTTGGGTTTTTTGAGTGTTGCGACTTGGAACTTTGAAGAGTGGTGTTGGCTGAGTCGAACAAAAGATAGTTAGTTGAGGTTTATCAATGCTAATAGAAGTTCAGGGAAGAGAAGTTGTGTACCTTAATTGTGTGTCAATTCTGATGGATGGTAAGTTGACATTCTCACAGTAGTAATGTCCAAATTTTCAGAGTTTCAGGTTGAGAAATTTACAAAAGTTCTGCAAAAATCTGACCTCAAGGTAGACTCAGATTGTTGTTAAGAATGTCAAAAAATCATTGTTGAGATAAAGCCATCAAAGATGATGTATTCGAGTTATACCTGATAGAAGGTCGGCTAGACGACCATAGACGGGGATGGCTGGCCAGCATTGGCCTTTGAATATCGGATCGCAAACAACAAGGAACAGATAAAATACTGCCTAACCCATGATTTGTCCTTGGCTTTGATAGTCCATTCATTATATTGGATCATTTCTTGTTGTCAACTGTAAGGAAATAGGAAATCCAAAGTAACAAAGGGGTAGCTTCAAGACTTGGATCCAACAAAATTGCACAGGTCTAGCAACAGATTTCGATCCTGTGCTCTGCTTTATTGTTTCTAATATCTTGGTACTTGTACTTAGACTGAATGAAGTTGGGGGTGATTGTAACGAGAAACTTGGTGGGAAGTCATGAAGAGAAATTAGTCTACTCTCCTCTTGGAAGCACTTCCGGAACTTTTCATCGCAATTGCGGCTTTAGTCCTAGAATAATTAGCAGTGGCTTGAGGCTGAAAGAAGTGTGAATCGAGCGGAAAAGGAGAAAGAGCGGATAGCGTATTCGATTATGGTAGCAACCATAGTGTATGGAGGAGTAGTGGCACTTTATTGGCTGACATAGAAACATGGTTCGAAGAAAATGTTAGGAAGTTATTCAATGGGATATATAGGCAATCCTGAGAGTCGTGGCATCAACGGTTGGATGTACTCAATAGTTTCCCTTTTGTCCCGAGGTCATCATTCTACCTGGGTAGGTTGACATTCAATTTGATCACAAAAGACGATCCTAAACGCTCGTGGAATAAAGACTAGAATGGCTACATAGTATATAGCTGCCGTGGTAGTACGTCCAGCAGTGTACCGGACTTTTGGAATCTGGTAGTGTGCGATGATCACGATGACTGGATCTATGGATGAGATTGAAGTCTGTATCTGTTTGGTCTTATACCGCCTTTTTCTGCCGATACCGAGCTGATTATGTAAGTTCAATGCGTTCGCAATCTCGAGCTGTTGACAAGTTGCAGACAAGACTGGATTTCACCGAAAGACAACGATGGTACAAGTCACATACTGGCATGAATTTGACGACAGTTAAAAGGATGATGAGATTCTTATTACGACGAATCTTCTCAAGACCATCTCACCAGCTAATATATGGGGCCCAAGCACCATTCTAATCACCTCAACAATTCATATTATCGCAAGGTCATCAGTCTGCAGTTCAATCCGTTGTAGAATTCTTCCTTTGCCTTTACGGCTTTGTGCTACAAATTTAATTCGTTTTCCCGTTCACTCTGAACAGCCCATTCCCTACTTACATGAAAGCAATCTTGGCGCCATTCATGCTCTCAACGCCCATCTTGATCAATTGCAGGAACTCCAACTCTGGATCTCGATTTTCAATCACCTCAAACTTCTGCGTCAGCCTTACCAAGACATAAGCAGCCTGGGTCATAGCTTGTTGTTGCGCAGGGCATATTCTTGGACCTCCATAGAATGGAAGGAATTCCCAATTCATTTTACGCCCAACAAAGCGATCAGGCCTAAAACTCTCCACATCATCACCCCAAATGTCGCTGTCGTGGTTCATGCACCATGTGCCAAGCACTACTGGTGATCCTTTGGGAACAAACACCGGCTTTGTTTGATCCTCACCACCTCCTCTTGGTAGAGTAGTGTCGCGCACCGCAGCTCGCCATATTCTAGCTGCCGGACCAACAGTCCTAACAGTCTCTTGCAACACGTACCTGAAGTCTGCTAATTGTTTTAGCTTTTCAAATGACAACGGAGCATCGCCCAACTCAAGCGAAATGCGACGAAGCTTGTTCCATTCGTTCGGATGACGAGCAAGCTGGAAAAGGGCATTTGCTACTAGCCTGGACGTCACATCCCGTGCTGGCGCAAAGAAACCTAATACGTGATACCGAAGTGCAATGGGATCTCGGATCTGCTTAGCCATTTCGTGCAACAGGACATAGCGCTTTCTCTCAGAGGGTGCGCTATCAGAATCCGTTTTCGCAGTGTCTTGAAGAGCCAACTTTACTTGTTCGTCTACAAATCGATGGACCGTCTTGTATGACTTCTTCCAATTCGGATCCTCAATAAGTCGTTGGTAGTGGAACTGGAACCATGGTGCGTCGCGCCGAGCACTGACCCCTTTCAACCCCTCAGTAAACGCTTCAGTGAACTCAATGCTCTCAGGCGACCCTTGTAGTCCATTCAAAGAGCGTCCAAAGATAAAATCCATAGAGGTGTCTAGGAACTACGCCACGAAAATGTCAGCGCTTGATCACACACTATTTTTGCGAGCCACATACTAGTCTATGCAGCAATGGTTGAATATCAAATGTCTGTCCCTTTTCCGGAATCAACTCCAAAAACTTGTCTACACAAGAAGCAAAAAAGTCGAGATCTGATAGTTCTGCTCTTGCGAAAATAGGTTTCGCTAAATCCCTCGACAGGCTCCAAGCAGGCCCATCTGAGAAAATACTAGGTCCCAAAAGTGGCCATTGAGCTGTCTCTCTGTCTGCATCCTTTCCAAAGTCTTCCGCAGCTAGTGCTGCTACATGTTGAACGTTTGTCGGATCACAAGTATTGAAAAGTATCGTACCACGCCAAACTTCCGAGAAAGTCTTCCCGTAAGTGTCGAATTGCGACTTATATAATCTGAATAGGTGGCCCTCTTGAACGGCCTGAGCTCTCAGACGGGCTAAATCAGTTCCTAGGACATCCTGATGAGGATACTTGTTTGGCTCTGCGCAGTTGTGTTGGCGCTTCAGATTCCGAATATTCCTCGATCTTTTCAATTTTGGCAATAAAAAAACCAGGGCGATGACTATTATCACGATTATGTATCGTGTAAGTGGTTGTTGCCCACTATAAAATGGCACATCCATAGCGCCCTATTTGAACGGGGATTTGGGGGAGCTTTTGCTTCTCATGCAGACTTACGATCTCTATATATTGGAGAGCCAACCTTGGATATGAGAATGTTCACAGACACAACGCATATCGAGCGCGGAAGCCGAAAATGGAAGTCCAGCTAGGGATGATTTTGGCCCTCTACAATGTAAGATCTTACAAGTTAGAATCAACAGTGAGCATAGTGAGAGTCTCGTAATTGGTGGAAACTTTATATAATACGTAATACCTAATGTGCATGGAAGGAAGCGTCATTGAGGAAACCCACTTCCCCCGAGTTGAATATCGCGATAGTCTACCGTCATTCTTATGTAAATGAAAACTTGCTTCATGCCTGCTGTTACGTTCAATGCGGATCCACTAGGGTAGTACAAGGGTCCAGAGATAAGCTCATGTTGGCCGAAGGCCGAAATATCAACGCTAAGTCTAATGTATCGCTAGCGCATTGCTTGTTTGTGGTAATAAGGCTTATTTGCTGATCTTATCCTTGAGATAACGTTGTAATCTACATGCTCGGATTCGTTTATTTTGTCATTTCCAGGGTGTTATGTAGACCCACAATCTATCTGAGTGGCAAAACTGCCTTGGGGTAGCACCAGCCGTTTATTCCAGTAGATCCTAGTCACTGCGCATCCTTGAAATTTATCCGGGTCATTCTTCCCCCCCCCCTCGTTTACTAGTGACTACGAGGCAAAAAGCTTCTTGTTCTATTCTTCGTCTATCTACTTGTGTAGAACTTGGCATAGAGGTTAGCGTTCCGTTTGTCTACATTATTTTCATGAGAACGGGAGAAAGTGGATGCCATTTTTATGTTCGTGCGGTTCTATTGTATCATGTAGGTCACAAGTCAGCCCTTCGTTTCTACTGGCTCAATGTATTAATCCGGACCTTCAGCTGCTACACCTATTCCATGCCCTTTCAGTGCCTCAGTAAATAGTGTTACCAATGCTAGGCGACGACAAGACTCGGTATGTCGGCGATTCTGCAGTCAATGCGTTTCCCGCAGATGCAAACTACGAAGAAGCAACGTTAAAAAACGGTCATTCACCTCGATCATCCTCGGATAGCACCTCTGATAGTTCTATAAGCGACAGTGACAATGAGCAAGTCCAGCTTATCGAGTCTGATACTACTCACACCCGTGAAGGAGGGGTTGCCTCACGTGAGACAGCAGAGGAGCCTCTTAAAAATGAAAAGGAGAAGCCCGCGTCATGGTTTTCCCTGCCCAGAAAAGATCAGCTTTTCATCTTAGCCCTGGCACGTATGGCCGAGCCAATAGTACAATCCAGCATCAACTCATACATGTTCTTCATGCTGCGCTTTTTTGACCCATCACTTTCTGATTCGACTATTTCTTCACAGGCAGGTTACCTCGCTGGGGGGTTCACGGCTGCACAGTGCCTCACAGCTATGGTATGGGGTCGCGTGGCCGATAAGGCTTCGGTGGGCAGAAAGAATGTGCTTATTATTGGCTTGTTAGGCACTTTTACATCCACCATTGGCGTTGGATTTTCTCGATCTTTTGCGCCTGCGTTATTTTTTCGTTGTCTTGGAGGAGCTTTGAACGGAAATGTTAGTATCATGCGAACTATGACTTCTGAAATCATCCGCGAAAAGAAATACCAAACAAAGGCATTCTTGTTAATGCCAATTATGTTCAATGTTGGTATTCTCTTCGGCCCTTTAATTGGAGGTTGGCTGCAGGATCCAGTTCACACTTTTCCCAGTGCGTTTGGACCTGGAAGCAAGCTTGGTGGCAAAGATGGCGTGGGATGGATGATTAAATACCCATACGCGTTGCCAAATTTATTCAATGCCTTCCTTTTGCTGCTTTCGCTGTGCCTTGTAATTCTAGGTCTCGAAGAGGTATTTATTAGCCCACAAGTTCTAGCTTGATTCCACTGACACACTCTCCAGACACACATCGATCGTCAGCATCTCTCTGATCCAGGCCTCAAGGTCGTTCGTTCTGTGGCTCGAATTGTTTGCTGCAAATCGCGTCAAACTAAATATGCTCGCTTAGGAGTGGAAGAAAACACGAACGATGTTGAAATGACAACACCTTCCGAACACAATACAGAACCTAAGAGCTCATACAAACCACGTGCAAAGCTGCCTCTCCGACACCTACTTCGTCGCAACGTTATAGCTACTATGGTTGCTCACGGTCTTATACAAGGCCACACAAGCGCCTTCCAGAATCTTTGGTTCTTGTTTCTGTCTACGCCTCGCTTTAACCCCGCCAATTCAGAACCGTCTTATACACCACACCCTCCTCTTTTCTTCACAGGAGGTCTGGGTCTTCCACCGGCTACTATTGGAACTGCAATTGGTATCATTGGCGCAATGGGTTTGATGTTGCAATTTGGTGTCTATTCATGGGTAACGCACCGTTTGGGTGTATTATATGCATACCGCTACTCTCTAGTAATATTTCCGCTCGCGTACGCTCTCGCACCATTCCTAGCACTGCTTCCCACAAAATCAGCATCGCCACACGCAGCAGACGGGCCAATGATTTGGATAGGAATATGCAGTCTACTATTCGTAATAGTCATAGGTCGTACCTTTGCACTCCCCAGCTCACTCATTCTTATCAATAATTGTACACCACATCCGAGTGTACTCAGTACTATTCATGGTATTGCGCAGAGTGTGAGTGCTGGGTCAAGAACATTGGGCCCGCTTGTCTTTAGCGCGGTGTATGGACAAGGATTGGAGAAAGGGATGGTGGGGATGGCGTGGTGGATTTTGATGATTGAGGCTTGCGTTGCTTTTGGCGCGAGCTGGGTGGTTTATGAAGGTAATGGACATGAAGTGAAAATGGAAGGAGAATCTTAAGGATGATTCAGTTTGATACATATGGATGTTATTACGGGGTGTATCAGCTACACTAGAAGCGATAGGCAATCTTGGTTGTTGAAAATTAGAGTATTTGTAGAACGACTTAGTAGTATATTCTACCTTTCGATTCCATTGCTGCACACAAAAAAGAGTAACGTGAACTCTATTTGCCATGAACCTCATGAATATGCCCTTGAACGAGAAGAGACCCACAATATAATACAAGTTCTCCGGCTAGGTAAGCCAAAGCTTATCTTACGTTCCACAATTTTTATTTCACAGGGCTACAATGCCACGGCACCCCTCCATGAACCAAGCAGATTCTCCACTTTGCGGGGTGTGTCAGACCACTACCTACATGTGTTTTGACAACAGAACTTCGAGTTAGTCTGTGATAAGAAGGTGGCGGAATAATGATTTTGCTAGTTTTGTATTTACACAGAGAATTTTGATGGTCAATTCCCCTGGTTCGTATAAATTACCAGATCTCTCTAAGAGGTAGGGAAAAACTCTTTTGATTTTTCTAGTGCCTAACATGTCTAAAGCTCTAATGACTTGAAAAGGATAGACGTGTAGAACAATATAGATATCCAGAGTAGCTAACAAACTAATAACTAAGAATTATTAAAGAAAGCTCTTCAGTCTCTGGACCAATCGACGAAACAATGCTAATTTTCACCCCCATCCCCCATGTTTCTTATGAACTCGCATCATTTTGATTTGAAATTCGGCCTCTCAAAGCTCAATCTCCTGATATATCACTTGTACCAAACACTAGATTTAGATGTCGTACGATGCGCTGGAACCTTCCAAGTGTGCCATATCAGCATTGGCGCGTTCCGCGTCAGCGATAATAATCTCTCTATGTCTCTCGCTACGGGGTACGAGTTGGAACTTCAAATTGGCTGGGTAGCTGACTAGCCCGTAAGTGAAATCGTTCTCGTCTGGAATGTATGGTTTGCCATTGATAGTAACGGGAAGAACATTGTATGCCCAGATCAGTCTAAATTGATGAATTAGTGCTGAATACTTTGGGTAAAGATTGTGATAACAATGAAAAGCTAAGGGGGTGTACTTACCGCGCAATAACGATATACATCGATTGAAGTGCGACGTGCATACCGGGACACATTCTTCGACCGAAGCCAAAACAACCAAAACGGTAGTTGAGGAGCCTGGGGTCATTTGTCTCCAAGAATCTCTCCGGTATGAATTTCTCGCCCTCGGGGAATACCGCTGGGTCTTTCATGATTTCGCTGATGCAAATTATGTCAACTGATGAACTATCACTTTTGTTTTTTGTGAGAACTTACGCGGCGTTGGCATAGACAGAGGCGTCTTTCGGAATTAACATGCCCTTATAGGTATAATCCTGGGTCGAAGAGTGAGCAATACCTGTTGGTGTTACGAGCCGCCATCTGAAATAACGATGTTAACAGCTGATAACACACATAAGATTACAGATACGTACCTCAATGTTTCCCTAATAAAAGCGCCCAAGTAGGGTAGTGATTGCTGATCTTCAAAAGTTGGCATGCGATCCTTTCCAACAACTGCATCTATTTCGGCCTTTGCCTTCTGGAGACATTCCGGGTAATGTAACATGGCCACTAAAAGTACGAGATATCATTAGAGTATTTCATGCTAATTTATAGGAAAAGACGTACGGATTGCTATTTCGAATGCGGTGGTAGTCTACGTCAATATTAGCTTGTTGTCCTATGAGAGAATGAGTTAAACTTACCGTTCCGATACCTGCAGCCCATGGAGCAGAAAGAGCATATGCTAGCTCGACGTCATCATTCATGTCTAACTCCTTTTGTTTTGTAAGACCATAAGTGGATGTGCATGGGACGGCGGTGCCATCTTGCATCTTTCTTTTGACCTCGTTCATAGCTGTTGTATATAATTTTGTGTTGGTATCTCGATGCTTCTCAGGCTCATGTCGGAACCATTGCAGAGGACGCTTTGGAAAGTGTTAGTGGTAATTTTTACACAGGAAAGCATGGCTGACTTACTGGGAGCCATAGCAATATGGGCCACTGATCAATTTTTCAGTTAATTGCGACGACATTACATGCTGGGAAGTTAACTTACGCTCTCAAGGGGAAATCGACCAGGTACTCTGTTGAAGATGAGTTAGCATAAAGAATCTGATTGATCTTTATGGCATAGACACTTACTTTGTACTAAAAAAAGTATGAGTACTTGATCAACACACCTCTACACACCGTGGTACGGATGTAACTTACCTCTCAATGTCTAGAGTGAAGATTAGCAAATATCTCAAAGATAAGAAGAGGTTTCTACTTACATTCTTCTTCCTGATCATGTGCTACGCAAAGAGGGTCGTCAAGAGATGTAACGCGACGCCCATATCCCATATAGAACATCAAAGATGCGGTGTACCTATCGAACTTGAGTTACTTTCACGTATCTATTGTAGGAAATTCGAACGTACCTTCGGAGAATTTTGTGTTGCTTAGAGGGGTCCTCATTTGTCAAGTAATCATGCATCAAGATTGCGGATTCATTGATTTGCATAGGTTTGACTTTAGGTGCTACTTGGGGACTGAAGTGCGAGTTTTGTAGCTTAAATAAAATTGTTAGTCAGATTTAGATTAGTGATAGTCTTGGAAAGGGGAGTCAGACTGTTCGCCAGTTTCGCCATTTGGGCCCGTAGGTCATTGAGAAGCCACGCAGTCTTGAGAAGAGAAATTCTCTAACTTTGGTTAGCATCCCAATCCACATACTCTCTCGTCAAGTGGGAACCTTACCCCATTATAAAGTGTGGACGGCTGGAGAATGTTTCACCAGCTTTCTCGAGAATGTCTACAGCGGCCTCCATGGTCCCGAGCACTGGGGAACGTTAGCACAACAGGAAGCGCTTTCTCTAATGAAAATACATAGCATACCGATATTGAGTTGTTGTCCAGTATAGAAGGTTACTACATTGCCTATAAACTGCTGTCAACAAGGCAATCTTCAAGTCCAGAAGAGAAAGAACGCCGAACCATATTGTTCGTTCCATGATTTGAACATGTTCCAGCGATCATTATCTAAGAGGTTCGCATGATCACGACCTGGAGGTCCAGGTGGTAGTTTAGCTGAATCATACTTTCTGTTCGATTTTATCAACTGAATAAATTTGACACCGGCTATGGCTAGAACGAGAGGAATAACGAAGAGTAATAAGTTTCCCATGATTCGTAGTAGGAATGATGTTGTTGCTTGGATCAATAGAACTATTCATATTGACAAAAGGAGTTCACAGTCTTCTTATACTATTTCAGGTGAGTGTGAGAGTATGACAGTGATGATGTTGATGCAATTTTCTTGTTATCATGACAACCCTAGTCTTCTTGAAGTTCCACCCGTGTATTGAAACTAGCCATACTGCATCACTGTACATTTGAGAAAAAGCTACACCTTTCGACTTCGCCGGCATAACATCTTGCGCGTATAATCACTTCAACGTGGTCCCCTATGGTATCAACAAAACAGAGATTGCTAGATAGAGTCTCCTGGTCGTCAAGATCTGCAACCGTCGTATGTGATGATTATGGCAGAGAAGCTGTGGTCGAATTAGACTACCTTACGATGACTTCACGGACGTGCTACAGTACATTCTACATTCCTTCCATGGATTTGAAGTCAAGGTAGGAAATCCTTTAGAAATATGCCTTGTCGTTGTGTCACTCGGGCCTCGGGTTCCGCTCTACTTGACCGACTCAGATCCACTAGACCCGCGTTGAGCGGTAATCTAGGTGGCCTTCCTCTGTTAATGACGAAAGATCTGTCCGATATGGAAATAATTAAGCAATTGAGGGAGGTGAAGGGAGTCTGCATATGCTTGAATGCACTGGCTTATCATTTCCTAGTATGGTTAGTGCTTATGGCATGTACCCCTGAACAAAATCTCTCGCCAGGCCTATCCGTAATCGAGCGAGCATGGGTTAACTAGCGCGCGAGACTTCGTATGAGGACTTGAGGACTAATGGATAGATGGATGTGCCATTATCTACACAGCGGTTGCTGTATTCCAAATTGCAATCGATGATAAAAGTTCTTGATTCCTGGATCTTTTTTCCCATGTTCGAAATCTTGAATCCACTCAGATTGTTAAGCTGCATTCAAAGTTTCGAAATAATTTGAAGCTTGGAATCTAGTTCGAAGTGTTGAATTTTTTGCACCTTCAATATCTTTACTATTTTTTGTTTCAAGCCGCAATTAATCCTTAAAGCTATTAAAGTATTATTTGAGTCTAAATTGTTTATCCTGGACTCACAGAGCAGAAAGCGACATTACAATGGAAGTGACATGGCGGGCTCACCCCCTTCCAAAAGAAACCTCTCTTATTGCCATAGACGTTTTCACTAGAACGCAAGATGATCAAGGGCTCCACGGCTTTCAAAATAGTCAGATCGATGACTCCTCTGTGGCATCAAAGTTCCTTGTTCAACATCTTAAAGAAAGCGATTGCGTTATCCGACTGCTGTTCCCAACAGTCGGTGGATACCTTGTCCAATCGGACTTCCTAGACAGACGCCTGATCGATTGTAGCGACGTTGTTAAAATTCAGACATTTATATCACTTGATCAACATTTTGAGGGCATTATTAATATTAATGCCTGTAATGCGCTCGGTATTGCCGACATCTCAAAGAATGCTATTGGAGCAATAGTCGTATCGTGTACAAACAGAGCTTGGTCCGAGGCTGATGCAGTAGCGCTGGATAGAGAGCTGACGCGACGGTTTTCGTTTGCATGGCATTCTGCAAGACAGACCCCAAAGCGACGATTGGCAGTGATCCGTCCTGGTCCCCCTTCACACCTACTCAGTCTCTCAAAGCTTGAGGATCTTGCAATAGCGGCTACGTCGCTCAATATTGTACTCATATTCTTTGATGATTTGTGTCATGGGTTGGCGGGTGCTGAATGGGCACATTTGCGCGAGGACTTCGTCCCTCTGGATATGACACTGGACGAAGACATGCCTCAGCGGATCGCTTCGGCAGTCTCTGCTTACCCAAAACAAATCGATGGAATTATTGGCATGTACGAACCTCTCCTCACTATAGTTTCAGAAGCAGCTACTTTATTGGGATTCTCTACCTTATCGCCAAAATCCGTGTCGATGGCACGTGATAAGTATCAAACCCGCCAATTCGACCAAAGTCTCTTCTGTTACAGAATACAAAACATTCCAGATCTTGAAGACGTTATAGCTCGCTATAGGACTGTTGCACCTCTATCCCTCCCACTCATTGTGAAGCCAGCAAATGGGTGGGCTTCAGAGGGGGTTTGCAAAGTAACATGTGAGGACGAACTGAGAGACGCAGTGCTTCGATTATGGCAACCTCCCTTCTCTGAAAAATACGGCCGGAATAGCCAAGGCTTAGTTTTAGTTGAGCCATACGTAGATGGTCCAGAAGTTGACGCTAATCTGGTTCTTGTCGATGGAGAGATTGTCTTCTTTGAAGTTAACGATGACTTCCCAAGCTCCGGTGATAGCGACGGACAAGGATTTGTCGAAACCTTAAATGCCATGCCTTCTGCATTGCCGGAGAGTGAGATTGATGCTCTCCGACTCAGATCGCATGCTACTGTATTAGCCATGGGTTTTAAAACAGGTATATTCCACGTGGAAGCCCGAGTTCATAATTCCACTTTCGCTTTTGCCACGGGAGACGATAATATCCTAGATCTTTCAGTGAAATCGGAGATCGCAGATAGTAGGAACAGAACTCCTACAGTATTTATACTAGAGGTCAACCCGCGACCACCAGGAATGCGTACACATACAGCCATTGCACGAACGTATGGAGTGTCGTATCGAAGCATAGCGCTTCTCACTGCTCTTGAAGACCATGAGCGGTTGCGGGCCTTGGCGGTCCCTTTCGTTGGTGGCGCACAATATGACATGCAAGTCTTGTTTATAGCAGCACAGAAAGGTGGAGTTTATCAGTCCGGGGATGTTTGTTCAGCTATATTAGAGCGTGAGCCAGACTTAAGTAGCCACGTCAAGCAGTCCATGGGGTTTCTTCACAATGGACAAGAAGTTCCTGACCCAAGGGGTCGAACAAGCGGAATTGCTTGCTTTTGGATTGCTTCTCGACGGGGGAGACGAGAAGCTAGATTGATTAGTGAGAAAATCCAAGAATTAGTTTGGGAACTCACAGATGGGTTTTAAGATTACGATTACTGTATAGGGCTTGACTAACGATATAAACCCATTGTGTGCTTTGAATTGTAAAGGAGAAGATGGGAATCCCGCCGCCACTATTCCTCGTAGAGCTTTGTTAGATATAGATTACATCACAGAAATACTTCTCCTCAATATCGTCGGAACGAATATCAAAGTAATTTCTCTTTTTTCTAACTTTTGGCATTTAGCCAATTCCCTCATCTCCGAATACATTTTCTTTTTCCAACTCGGCAAAAGAATCAAAATTTTCATCACCATTCTTCGTGTGTGTTGCAAGAAGCTTAAACCAAAGTGGTGAATTGTTGCTCGATAGTGATGTTCAATGAGTCAAGACATTTCCACCTTCTTAGAGAAGATTATTGAGGCTCTGAGGGCCACAAAGCAATTCAACAAAGTTCTTCTTAGAATCCTCACAACTTTGATTTTTCTTTCCAGCACTTTTGATGCAATTATCCCTTGTTAGCCACCCTTCTTTCCGCCTGGACTGTCCTTGTCACAACAGTATATCCCTCCAATACGCGACACCAATGTTTCCAAGAGCTAGAGTTGACGGCCGAGATGACGAGAAGCTTTTCACTAATGTATCGAATCGAACAATACGAAAAGTTTGAAACACCAAATCCCATTTGAACAATGTACTGCGGTTATATGTAGATTTTCCCTTAATATTGAAACTAGCAAAACAATAATTCCTCCTTGCTTACCAGCCATGTTTCAACAGCTCTTCCCAACAATTCTGTCCTTGTCTTTAAGTGCGTCTGTTACCTTTCCATACGGATAAGATACCCAACCTTCCATTGATGTAAGGTATTTAATACCAATGGTAGAGGGAAATTCTGATAGTAGACAAGGTTGTAAATAGCGATAGTTAAGAAACACCCCTAAACTTCATGCTCCCATCGATCATTTTGGATCACGCCCATATCCTTCGTCGAAGTCATTGCCTAAACCTATTCTCCACGTTTGTTAGTCGTTGCTGGCTGTCTGGAAGCAAAAAGTCACCTCCTTTGAGAGACCATTATGCCTCAATTTGGTATAAATCAATCAAGAAAGCGGGTTCTGGCTTGATGGATCAGCGATCGCCCAATGCCACGCGGCTCGATTTACAATCACCGAAGTTCAATGGGATATTGCTTCTGCCACAATACTTACTAAGCTTTCAATTGGGCCCTTTGTATCTAAGTTTCCAAAGCCTGATATTGGTGTTGTAATGGAACTTCAGTCTTTCTGATTGATTGGCACGTTAATAGTATTAAGTGTATTGGCATTTGATAATAATCATTATCTATTGGATGAATGAGAATCTCGGTTCCGATTCTTGCCCTTTTTCAATGGAATATTTGCAAATGAAAGTCTTTTACAATATTCAAGATGGCTGTAGCCCTCTTTGAATTCTAAAATTATATGAAAATCATTCGCAATAGAGAATGGGTTTATTTTCAAAGCAAAATTCTGCAATAAACCTTCTTCCCCCTCCCCCTCCTCTTCCTCTTCCTCTTCCTCTTCCTCTTCCTCTTCCTCTTCCTCTTCCTCTTCCTCTTCCTCTTCCTCTTCCTCTTCCTCTCCTCTCCTCTTCATTCTCTTCCCCTTGATATTTAATCAATTTTACAATCTCCAGATACAAGTTCTCTTTATTTACATTTTCATTTTTTGTCAATGATTTCTGAATAAAATCAAGCCAAAGTGATGATCCTTTGCCTGATGTTGATGTTTGCTCATTTGATGATTTCTTTGATTTCGTTTTTATGAAATCCAAGATGATCGAAACTCTTTCTAGCATTGATTGTAACAGAACTTTAGTCTTTCTGAGAAAATTTGGTTCCTAGGTTATTGTAATTCATAATTGGTAGTTCTTTTCTATGCAAACCAAATATGCTTCTGGGGTATACCTATCACGTGATATGGTGGCAGAAAAGTATCTCCATTAAGCGAAAAATCTCAATATAATTTTAGAATGGTTGATTTGCCACAACAAATCACACATCTTTGATGGTCTAACGGTCATGATTTCCGCTTGTCACCACTATGACAAGTCGCGGGAGACCGGGGTTCGACTCCCCGTCAGAGAGTTCTGGTTTCATGCGATAACTTTTTGGCGCGTTTTTGGCTGATTCTAGCCGGTCTTTTGGTAAAATCGCATGCAGCTAGCTGGTCAATGATGTGAGGGATTTGTCTGTTTGTATGGAATCAGCTCGTAGAATGATTTGTGCAAAATTGCAATAGACCACTTGTTCCCCGCCGAGATAAGCTGTCAACATCGCTGCAAAGGCTTATCTTTTAGAGCCAATCTATCTTTATGCCTTGGCAGAAGTACAAATCCTGCAGGGTCCGCACGTACCCGTTGTGCCCACTCAACAAATCATGACTGGTTGATTGCCGCTATCTGTAAAACAGAGCTGAGGAGATGTCTGGTTAGCACTCACATGTATCAAGCAGCTCTGAAGCATACAAACCAACATTCAGTTTTATACGGCAGCAAGTGTGCTTTGGGGTCGAAGTTAACATTGAATCAATATATCCCATACGATAATTGCTTGTTCTTTGCCATCATTGCCGAGTCGCCTTACTTGTAGTCTTATATATCTGCCCCCTCCCCACCTTTCGTTCTCACGGGAAAGCTACGAGTGTGTCCTTCTTTTAATGCAAAACTACGCATTCTCGAGTATACAGCTGTTGGAAGCAATTCTATGTTTGAGTTCACCATTGCTCCATCAATCCTGACTTCCTTAGTATAACTATGATGGAAATCCCCAAAAACCTGCCTCTAGGGCAGATCCTGATTTTGTGTATGTTGCTCCAACCCAGCTCGGAGCTACCTACCAGTATAATTCATGACTTATTATTCATACAGCACTCTCTAGATTTGCACATCCATTTGCGTACTCAGCGTCTCTACCTTATATCCCAATGCTCATGAGATATGTTGGTGTTCCTCCAGAGACACTAGGCTTTTGGGTTGGTGCTGCTATTTCCTGTTTTTCCATCTGTCAAGTAGGAACTGCTATACTATGGGGCCATATCTCCGATCACATTGGTCGAAAGCCCGTAATTATGATGTGTAGTATGATGATTATGATTGGCGTCCTCATGTTCGGGTTCTCAACACAGTTATGGATGGTCCTGTTAAGTAGGGCAATCATGGGGTTCAGTAGTGGAGATTCTGGAGTTATCAAAACGAGTCTAGGAGAAACAATCAAAGACAAAGTTATTTTCCATACTCCTCATGTCTTTATCTAAACGCTGATATTATTTGAAGAAACTCCAAACAGTCGCCTTTTCCATTCTTCCACTTGGACTCAATTCCGGGTGGGCAGTAGGTCCAATTCTGGGTGGTCTCGCGGCAAATCCATACCACGTTGAGCCCGGAAAGCCACATGGCGACAGGTTCTTGGAGAGATACCCATATGCTCTTCCTAACCTCATTGCCACGGGGTTCTTTTTCGTTAGTTTGTTTATCGTATTCTTCGGATTCAAGGAATCACTAGAAAATAAAAGGGGAAAGTCAGATTATGGGATTATGTTAAGAGAAAGATTTGTTGCCGTAACGAGTAGATTCTACAATAAATTAAAGGGCAAAAATGATGGAGACGAAGACAAGGAAGAAGACGATTTGGAGACCGCTCCTCTTCTATCAGACGAGAACTCTTTACCAACAGCTATTCTCAACGTCGCGGAATTCATCCCTCCAGTACCCGAAAATCCACCATCAGCGACATGGAAGCAAGTCTTGGATCGACAAACTGTCATGTGCATTGTTTCGTATGGCTTCCTATCCATGCACTCATCCTCATATGATTCGCTCATATCCGTGTTCATGCACCATGCAAAACAAGATCCTTCCTCGCCTCAAATGCATCTTCCCTTCAAATTTAATGGCGGATTTGGTTCCGGTACGTTTTCAACTTCTTAGCATGAAACTTCCCATTAATAAATCAACATGCAGATACCACAGAAATCGGTCTCATGTTCACCATCTTCGGATTTTTCTGCATGTTCATTCCCCTATTACTTGTCGGTATCCTCAACCGATATTTTCCCGTCCTGCGCGTCTTCCGTTACTCGTCCAGCATTGGGATTCTACCCATCTATCTCGCTACTCCTTTCACAGCCCTTCTCCCCAAACCCGCAAACTTCATCGTGCTTAGTATTCTCTTTGCTCTGAAGGGATGTATATGTGATTTTGGGTTTATTTCTGGTAGCATACTTGTTGCAAGATCATGCAAGATTGATAATGGGAGGGGGAGAATCAATGGGTTACAGACTATGGTTAGCGCGATGGCAAGAATTGTAGGACCGCTTTGGGCGGGGATTATGTTGGATTTGGGAGCGAGGATAGGATATATAGGGATGGGGTTTTGGGCAGGTCCGGCCTTGGCTGTAGTGCTGGCTTTGTTGCCTCTTTCGTTGATGACGGATGATTAAATCCATGGGGAAGAGATTGAGCTTGGAAGATATACATAGAGATATTTGATGTAGATTATAATGGAAACATAGATTCGAAAAACATTATGTGATATTGACTATCATTCTCGAATACAATTATTCCCCACAAGTGGGTGCAATCAACATACACTTCCGTACTACCCCAAACAAGTTGCTTCGAAATTTTGGATACTAAGCCGCCAGTCAATGCACATTAACCAATCACCACATTCCAAAATATCACCAAAGAGAGTTTCGGGTATTTCTTGTCATCTGCTGACGCATCTTCACGACTTTGTAATCGATAGCATTTGATCGACGGAAACATATAAACTTCTCATTTTGCGAATCCCATCAAATTACCATACTGCAGTGTCTTAAGGGAAACCAAGGCCCTTCTCATGACTTCCCAAATAACTAAGTGAGAAAATAACGATAATTGCAAACGAGAAATCTATGCTGTGAAATTCTGCCAAGTACATAATCCATTGTACAACTAATCGGTGTCGAAGATACTGAAAACAAAAACTCTCTAATAGTCGTACAACCAAATCAACATACGAGCAAGATGAGACCAACGAAAACTGCAAAGACTAAATCAGGGACTTACAGAGCCCCGATAAGATTTTCAGATCTAAACACACTTGTAAGAACTTCTCTAAGACTAAGTATTGCCATCCATGATAGTCAAACCGCCTGTTCCCGATTCGATAGCGGACTCCAGAGGGGTCGCTTCATCGAAAGCCTTTTTCGCAAGCGTGTCTTCAGCCATTTAATTAGTGAAATATCCTTCCGATAAAACAGGAGGGTAGAACATACCAATATCAGCGGGCAGAGTTACAATGCCCTTGTCATGTAGCGTGGCAAGGCTATCCTTCATCCAAGTTCTGCAACTGAAAGTTTCACCTGTCCGCTTAGATATTGGACCAAAGTCTGTGATAGCTCGCAAGGCTTGGTCTAAAGCCGCCTCAGAGGATAGAAAGTCAAGCTTGTAGGCAAGACGATGGTCCTGGAGTTTCGAATGTTGTTGGTTAATTTCACTTCAAGTGTCCAGCCGCCGGATTTGTTCGTTGCATGGTAGTACCATCCCTTTACTCCTGAACATGGAAGGAATATTCCCCAGTGCTGAAAATTTTAAGCAGATGTTTTCGGGAGAGAGTAGAAGTGGGAAGGTCTTACGAATGTTCCAGGTTGACCTCGTGTATTGAGGGTCATGTAAAGGGCGCCGTTTTCGAATGATGATGACATTTGAATATCGTATAGATTGATGAAGTAGAAGATTTGGATAAATTATATACTGTATTGAAAGGAAAGTTTTTTTATGAAATGCTGAAAGAACAATCAATTTCTAGAGGAGGATGAAAGATTATATACTTGACAAAACATAACAAAATTCGGCAGTATCAATAACTTCATAGTTAAATTAGAATGACCAACGAGATCTCATTGAAGATGGTTTCAAAAGAGGAACTTGAAAGTGCAACTCTGGGAATCGACTGGTCAACTCTGTCAGTTGAAGAGGAGATATATGAAGAAAGCGCCTATCCAAACGGATGAACATCAATATTTGTGGGGTCGATTTGGGGTGGAGATCTATAGAATCATCATAGGCCAAGGTGACAAGAACTAGAATAGATTCTCTCTTTTCCTCATTTAAATGGATTCGTCAAGGTCGAGTTTGGTCTTTATGAACAAGATAATTTGCTGTCGACACAAAGTTGTGATGGTTGTAAGAGCCTCGCCATAATGTCCTCCTATATTGAAGCAAACCAATTTTGTTTTGAGGTGGTTAGAGACTCACTTGAGTCACTTGTTGAACCCATCCAACATTGTATGTTCCAGAATGGCCATCTGGTTCAAACATAGGTGAAGCCGACGATCCGCCGCTGCTGTTTGTAACCGCCGTCGCGTTCCAAATAAGCATCTCGATAGACCACAAGAAGAAGAAGAAGTTGCCTGCTTTCTTTGTTGGATATAACTGTTGGTTACTACTTGGTGATCAAGAATCACATACTGCATGTAAAGTGTGCTTCTGAAACCTTTCTCCTGTGATTAGCAAAACTAAAAGGCTAACAGCCCTCATGTGTGGATTAAATGCGTCCCTCACATGACTTGCAAAGCAAGGACTACCTAGGTAGCTAGTGCAGACACTTGGCCAAAGTATCCCACTCAACTCAACTCAACTTGACTGGACTTGACTCAAATTCTAACAATTCCATCTCACGCTCATCATCTTTTATTTTAAGTTTAATCTTCATTCTCTCTTGAGCCTGTGTCGCTTTGTTTGTTTTATAGCTTCAGGGGCTATGGAATGCGATAAGGCTCGTGCCATTAGTATTGTTCGAAGTGCGGAACTTGCACATCCCGGTCTCCCTTTAGTTGAAGCATTCCTCGGTGATGCCATAGATGGCGAGCAGGCTGCAAGATATTTGTCACAAACTTACGTCGATGATAGAAGTAATTTTAACTTTGTACAATTCCTAAAAGATTGGAAAGATCTGCTAAGGCTTTGTAAGTTCTATCCCTAAATATGAATGGGCCCACTGCTAATTCATATCAAGTCCATGTGGAATCTTCCCACTTGAGAAATCTGAGCTGGGCTCTGAAGAGAAGAGTTGCGAAAAGAGATAAATGCCGATGCTGTCTGAACGGCGTGCGATGTCGATTCTGGAGCAATTGGAATGTGTTTCCCATTATACCTCCGACTGCACTTTGTATGAAGGAATTAGGGCAAACAAACCCGATTGCATATGTCTGGCAATTTTTCTAATTTTGTTTGTAGCAAAGGTTATTTGATATGCTTGGTGCATTTACTACATCTTTCCACCAAGACCTGCTCAAAGACAAAACTCTAGAGAATCAGATTCGTAATCATTGGGTTTTGAGCAAGGATGCGGCAATGACCCTTTCGAGAGGGGTGATAAGGCTCAAAAAGCTGGAAGGAGCAAATTTCCTCATGCCTTCCCTTCCTTGAACCTATCCACGCTAACTTTACACAGTACAGCATCCTGTATAACAATATTGGCGGCAATGTTCCAGCGATGTATACGTACAGCCAACAAGTCAAGTGGAAATGTGATCTAGTTGATCACTCAAACTCTGGAATTGAGAGTCCTGACCCGTATCTTCTCGAAATACAGTCTCGGCTCTCCAAGGCTCTAAAGTGGGCTGAAATTGATACGAAGATAAACAGTCGCCCATCCTTACGCCGAAGTCAAAACACAAGTAGCAGTTCTTTCAGAGCATCGATCACTACTACCTTTCTCGTTATGTGGTCTAAGTTCCCTGAATTTATCCGATTCAAGACCTACCGAGTTTTGAGAACTGCTGGATCATATCTCTATGGATCTCCCATGAGAGGAGTTCAAAGGCTACCATTCGGAATGTACCTCAAATATGGTCCAGAATACGACGCTGATAACCACGCCGGAGAATTCAACGCTCTTAAAATTGTGCGAAGTCGGACTTCCATCCCTGTTCCAAATCCCATAGATCTCTTAGTCTCACTCACTGAGTCCTTTCTTGTGATGTCCCGCATCGAAGGTGTACCTGCTGGACACGCTATAGACGAATGCAGTGACGAGGAGGTGCATCAGATGGCTCAAGATCTACGTTCCTACATCGCGGAGTTACATACCATAGAACAGAACAAAGACTCCAAATACGCCATCACCAGCGCAACCGGGGGTCCTTGTTTGGACTACCGTATCGATAGTGAGCCAGTAGGTCCTTTTCCCACCGAGAAAGAATTCAGTGAATCATTGCAGTTGGGGATACTTCCTGGATTGATGCATCGTACTGATCACAAGATATTCTTTACGCACGCGGATTTGAATATGAGAAACATCTTGGTCAAGGATGGGAAGATCTCCGGCATTGTAGATTGGGAGAATTCCGGATGGTATCCTGAATATTGGGAATATACCAAGTGCCGTTTTTCGGTCAAAATACACAAGTGATGGGTGAAGATGATAGATGAGACATTTGAGGATAAGTATGAGGAGGAGTTGGCGATTGATAGACAATATTGGGATTACCAAAGCGCTTGGTAGATTGGATAAAGCTTGGAATGTATAGAGCAGAGAATTGATGGGGAAGAAGAAGATCTGCTAGCGCTGTTTGACTAGGTACTGGTGGGTACCTCCAGGGCTAGGTAGGTAGTTACTGCATCGGGCTTCCACGTGATCTACCGACTTTTCTACTGAGGAATTGGTTTATGAACATCACCGAGTCGGTTATTAGTACTCAGTAGGCCTTACCAATTCGAAATTCAAGAACAAGATCTACAAATCAGTCTTCCTCATGATGTTGAAGTGGTTCTATTGAAGGGGATACACGTGTTAATCTATCGTAATTCACCTCTATCTAACGAGTGACATGGCCACCAATGCCTCTATACTGCGGACGATTTCTCAAACAGAACAGGCCCGGGGAATTCATCCTTCCTTCTCAGCAATCCAAATCAAATCCTCCTCGAAAATCATAATTTCGTATAATTTCGTACCAGCTCGTATCAACCCCCTGTTTCTCTGCTGACTCATCTTTAATCTATCCTCCAGTCTAGCAACTGGAAGAACGGGCTTGGCTCCTTGGCTTCAAACTGAGACCAAAAAATAAGCTTCAAGACTTTTACCCAAGGGATTTCCAAGCCGGGAGTTTCGCTTTATGACGTTTTTTCTTTCTATGTTTTTGATTCCTTTTGAGGGCAGCCAAGATATAAAACATCGAGGGTTGGATATTTGCATTACGCGGAGACTAATCGATTGATTGATGGGAGTAACTTCACATACAATACCGCAATACATCTGCCGGAATGCCACAAAGTATATTTATTACTACCTAGGTACGTACCTATCACTCAAACTAAAGTGGCTGAAGAGATGACACTGCACACGAAAGACATTCAGGATAAGCCTGTTACCTTCCCCTGTTCACAATGCCGAAACCCCGGAAACACCAAGCTCGACTCGCACGAATGCCCTTTGAATGAAATGTGGAAAGTTACGTATCTGATTAATTTACACTGGGGCTTTGTGACTTTAGATCTCTCTACGCGTATTCCGTTTCTAGAAGTCTGATACGATTTCCCTTGAGGGTTCCATACAGAGGACGTGCGGGACTCTAGAGGGAGAAGCAAAACACAGCCTTCAAGTACGAGCTGAGCGACATAACTGATAACATCACCGAGGTTTGATTGTGGCGGATGGATGGAGTGAGTGGGTGAGTGGGTGAGTGGGTGAGTAGATGAGTGGCTACACCTGCAGTCATGAATAATACAAATTGGGTTCAAGATTGGGTCAACAAGGTATATCAGGGGGTCATGCCATATGACAATCCAGCCCTGTACTTACTGAATGGGGAAATGATCCATTGATTCTCCTCCAGGTGGGCAATGTGCATGCATGGTACGATGGTACCTACGAGTAGGTAGGTGGTAGGGTGCCGGGTGTAAAAATAAATCTATGAATAAAGTGCAATTTAGTGAATGACCGACCCAATGTATGTGCTTGTTTTACCTTTTAAACCCCTTCCTTCCTTCCTGCTTTCTATTTTATATCTCTCTCTTCTTATCAACAATCTCTACCTTTGATATATAATCACTCCATATACCACTTTCAAAGAACCAATTCAACTCATTCCATCTCAATCACCAATCTACCATCTACCATCTACCATCTAATCAAAATGCCTTTCGAAGCCCAACAACCCCAAGCTCAACAGATGGAGATGTCCACTACCAATGGTCCCATCACCGAACAACCTGTTTGTCTCTCCCTTCTCAATCATATCCCGATCTCCCGTTTTCAATCTCGATGTCTATCTTGCAAACGCCAGCCTCAATCAAATAAAACAAATCAATGTATAATTACCAAACACCAACTAACATTTTCACAGCGTCAAAATGAGGGTATGAGCGCCGATGTATCGATGCGTGGTGGTGGTGGATGCTGGTATGTTTTCTACCTTCCTTTCCTCTCTCCTACAATCCCATTCATCCAATCTGTCAAAAAGAACAAAACACTAACCATGTTCCCCAAACAGCGAAGCATGTCTCGCCTGCTGTCTCCTCGAGGAAGTCTGCGCTTGTTTGATTTGTGAGGAGTGCTGTTGTTAAACGCGTTTCTATGGGGATATATACACAGAGAGATGCATACATATATGTATCTAGAATATAGATCGTACACCTACTGCGATGGAGTGGAGATGATTGATACCCGGTTGTTTGCGGATGCGGATGCGGATGTATATTGCGATGGAGTTATAGATATGAATGCGATAGTAGAGGATACGGGATGAGAGGGGAAACTATGAATTTCGATGTTTTTACGCGGATGATGAATTGGGGTCGATGAATGCGATTAGTATGATGCAGGATGGGTAGATTTTTCTGCTGGATGAGGAACAAGCAGAAATGTATTTTGCGAATATCCAAATATTATATCTGATTTTTTATCCTTTATGAATTTCTACGTTTTTACTTCATCATTTCATTCCGTGCATGTATTATCACATTCCATTCCATTCCCATTCCCATTCCCATCCTACCTTCTTTCTCCACGATAATCCACAATATGAGCGATTTTCCACTCCCTTCCATTCGATTTCGCAACCCTTTATTTATTTGCTCGTTTCATTTCATTTCATTTTAGTCTCACCGCTCGTACCTGACTAGAGGAAGTACCTAGGTACCTACTTACCTCGTGAGAAATAGAGTTGCAAAAATTGAAGTTAAAGTTGCGAACATGTCGAAGTATGGATGGGCACAGACTTCACGCAACGTGTGTGCGTGCGTCGGTTTAGCCTGGGTGTGAGAGTTAGAGTTGAGTGGATTGGATTGGATTACTGGGTAGGTCCACGGGTGAGTGAGTGGGTGGGAGGTATCGACGTCAAAGGTTTTGAGCTCTGACCCGCGACCATATTTCCATTGCGCGGCCAGGTCCTCGACCTCATACTTTGGGACATCGTAATCACTATAAAGTATGTGAGAAACATATTCTCGAACTGCAAATGAGGTTGCTTCGAGCGGGAGAACTGAAGGAGCACTGGTCATTTTGAAGAAACTTGGGAATTTGAAGTTTGTTGCAGTGATGAGTGTTGAGTTCTGATATCAGATCATGGGTCTGAAGGCATCACAACAGCGGGACCAACAGTTTGCATTGTATCAGCTTGCGTTGCTTCATTTAAGAAAATAAGCGTGTTGAGTCAGCAGGTTCATTTCTTAAATACATAGTACCATCTAAACTCTATAAACTTAGAATCTATCTAATGTTATAGAGGTATATACTACAATATGGATTATAAGATAAACCTAAGGAATTAGTATTAGAATCTATAAAAACAGTATTATAGGGATAATAAAACTAAAAAAACAATCAAAAATAATAATAATTAAATAAATAATTGATAATTATAAAAATAAATATAATACTAGCCATTGGGGAAAAAGAATTTTCAGACTATAAATTTATAGAATTTCTTTTTTTCTTTTTAATTATTATAATAATTTTGAAACTCTATGAATTTGTAAATTTTGAATTCTTTTCTCCCAACAACTAACATTATTATAATACAAAGTATTATATATAAATTCTAATTCTAATTTAAATTTTATTATAATATAATACAATATATATAAAGGCTAGCCCCTAAGCCCCTAATCCTTACTATACTTGAATTTAAATTATTATTCTTATATTCTTATTATTCTTATTATTCTTATTATTCTTATTATTCTTATTATTCTTATTATTCTTATTATTCTTATTATTCTTATTATTCTTATTATTCTTATTATTCTTATTATTCTTATTATTCTTATTATTCTTATTATTCTTATTATTCTTATTATTCTTACTATTCTTATTATTTGTTTTAAGTATAACTCTCTATAGGGAATAATATGAGAAGCATAGAGTAGAAAGTAATAATATTAGAAGAATTAATATATTAAATATATATTTCTAATTTTGAGAAAAAAAGCTTTATATAGAATAAAACTATCACGGTTGTGAGCTTAGGGGACTCAATACAACATGTGATGGTAGGCCTTCGAGCCTACCTCATATCGAATAGGATCCGTACACATATAAATTGTATAATTTTCATAATTTAAGAGAATTAATGAAAAGTCTTTGTACTACATTATACATAGTTGATTTATTACTAATATCTATTCTAACAATTCTTTTCATTCAACCAAATAGAGCAATTTATTAACTATTACTCTTGTTGGAAATCATATATATATGATACTAAGTAGTATGCTAGTAACAATATCCTTTTTCTATTCTAATAACCCTACAATCAACTATCAATAGTATTATAATTTCAATAAAATGAATGCTTAAAGGCGTAAAAAATCAGAACCTATATAGCCCGATCTCAATTCAATCGAGTATCGATATTAATCAATTCCTTCAAGATATCGACATTAATACATAAGTGATCCAAACGCGATCATCCAATGAAAAGATTATATTACTAGCTCACCAACTTCAGAAAATAAAAGAAGAGATGATAGTTATAAAGAAAGCCTATAAAGTAGCTATAAACAACATCTTATATACAACCACCCTAATCGATTATAGCGACCCTATAGTCATACCGAATATAACCTATAGAGACACTACTTTTAACCCAGGAAAATCTCTGAAATTATAAAAACTAGTATAATATATTTCTATTTAATTGACTATATTATTTTATATTGACATTTTAAATATTAAACTTTATAATTAAACCTAAACTAATATCTTAAATATCAAAAGAAAGATTTAATTTAATATATAACTTTAAAACATTTTATAAAATAAAAAGAAAAGAGATATTATTATCAATTAGAATTCAAGGAATTGATTGATATAATTATTTTTGATTTGTCTCAAAAACTAAAATTCATATTCAATATAAAAGCATTTGAATAATTAAAATTGAAATGTTGAAATTGAATTTCTATTTGAAATTATTCAAATACTTCAATAATAATAAAAAATTTGAAAAAAAGTTATATCAATTGATTTCTTGAATCCTAATTAATAATAATATCTTCTTTCTTTTTATTTTATTCATTCTTTTAAGGTTATATACTGAATTGAAACTTATTTTAATATAAATATATCTCTAAATTCTAAATACGTTTTTAGCTTAAGTAAAAATCTATTTTTGGGGTTTATGTTAAATAATCGTTACAGGCCTCGATAGTATGGCCACACTATACAAATTATTGATTTTTTTTACATCATATAGATTTCTATTTTTGGTATATAGTAGTTGATGAGATAAGTCTTGTAAGCCTTATTTTTAATAAAAGATACTATTTTACAGTATTCTAATACTGTTTTAACTAATTCTACTAGATATTCAGTCATTCCCTTCAAATTTTCAAATTTTGAAACTTTTTGTTCTTTTTTTCAATTTTTATAATTTTAAAGCTTTTAAAGCTTTTGAAGTTTTTAATTAATTCTAAATAAACTTAAAATAGAATTTCCAAAAAGAAAAATATTAATTTTCATAAATTTAAATAATTTGGTTAGAATTAAAAGAAAGTTACAATACTTTCACCATCTAAAGTTCACCATATAAATTTTCAACCAGTGTGATGATATGATTGGTCAAAATGATAAAAATGGGGAAAAGCTCGGTCGCATTTTGGTGTGTTTTACAATACTTACGCCGTCAACCTCCGTATAAGCAAAATGGTCCTTATAGGCCTCGGTACAAATATAGAATGAGACATCACGTGAACACAAGGTTAATCTACAATTCCCCTATCTTGAACCTCACACCACATCATTATTTTTGATGATCAAGACCATGGATGAGTCTCGCAACCTTGCGCTTGGTATGTAATTAAAAGAACCTCGTAATGTTTAAATACGAGTATTTCATTCTATGTATCACATTTCAAAGAAGACTTCAAAGAAGGAGAGGAATTGAGGATTGAATCATTTTCCAATGGAGATCTCGCCTTGCTATGCCTGATACTAGTGTACAGATTGTTATAAGATATCGCTCGCTATATCCCAGCATCCAGCACCACATGTCAATGACACCTCCCAAAAGACCTCCATCCGTTACGCCGGTACCCATTCTAGTCTAAAGATAACTCCATGGTATCACACTATGAGGTAGTGTCCTCAACAGAGCTATCTTCACCATCAAGTGATTTCTCGTCTCGGGTTCTAAGAATATCAGTCAGTAACTGATGATCTCATCAATGATGTGAAAACATACCCAAATTTGAAGCCTTATCTACCACTTTGACCCTGTCCCATTCTCCTTTGCAACCATCGAAGATTATGGTGCACATTTCTTTGCAGAAACCGCTGTAAACGCCGTAGGCACTTGCAGCACAAACTATCTGCCAGCTTGGTCTGAAATTCCGATAAAGCATCACAAGGGTTACCGATTCAATGCCTGACTCGATGGCTCTTTAATGTAGAATGTTTCGCCGGGGTACGTTCGAAGGCAAGGACACGATTGGCGCCGTAGCAAGCTAACGTTGCGGTTGTCGCGACCCCGGCAAAGGGAATCATTCTCCTAAATGCTACACGTGCCGACATGATTGTTAATTACCCAGGTATGAATCATCAATTGTTTGATTGTCTGAAGCGAATTGAAAGATTTGATAGTAGGTTTGAATGATAGGAAAGCAAAAGCTGTTTGAAGAAAGGTATGAGAAGAAAGTCTGTCCATATATATATATGTGTGAATTTCTCTTGGTTTTAGGTTGTCAGTAGTCTTGTGTGTTGTGACGTCTATCATGTGTTTAGGTGATATCTTAGTTCAAGACTAGCTTAAACTAAGCAATACTTTAATATTAGTCTAGCGTGTGCACGTGAATTTCGAGGTATTAGGGATGCATATGAAAGGTGCAATTTTAGTGAATGGACACATATTCTAGATCCATAACATTGATAATTCTACACCCTTTGCACACCTATAAGAACGATCTCTTCATCGGCATGCTCTAGTAGGTGTTTGTGACATATGGTTTGTCTTGGTCTGTCTTGGTTCAAACTCTAACTCATGAAGTATTTCGCATGCTTTTATTTCTATATACACCCTTTTTGTCATGAAACGCACTCAATCGCCATGCGATCGCATGTACATACTCGCTATTTATACATAGCTAATATAGGCGAACACTCTATGAACGATTTGATCATATTCTTTGAGTCCTAGATCCTAAGGATATCTTGTATACCCTGCTCTCGCAGTTCATCTGAGGCAAACTGTCGCACTTTTCAATGTTCTAGAGCATGCGAGAAAATCATTATATCAAGCCTTTTGTAAAAGGATTCGCATATGACGTAGGATTTCAACATTGCGCTAAACCTAGCTCCTTCTTCTGAAGTATGACGATTCGAACCCTTATGACCCCCGCCCTTCCCCCTCTTCATCCCCCTCAGAGGAAGGTGCTAGCCTAAAGAGGCATATATAGTGCAGAGTTAGCTTAGTGCCAGAGTTTTTCGGGGTATAACTAATCCAATAATAATTATATCCATTATAATAAAATCCACTTTTCTAATGAACTATGTAGGAAGGAATTCCCGTTTTCGGTTTCGGTATTCTTCGAATTTCAAAAATTCAACAAATCAATTTAGTAGATTTACATTTCAGATTCTTTTTTAGGTTTTGTCTTGCCTTTCGATATAATTAAAACCTACATTTCAATCAGTTTTCGTTCAATTCAATAAATCAAATTCAGTTTTTCGGGATTTGTCAAACATTAGCCCAATTAGAATATTCACAGTTTCTAATTGATTATATATAAGTCTTAAGAATTATTAAATTAACCAATCAAATCATTCTAAATACTTTAATTATATATCAAATGTATTAATTATCTTATAGCCTGCTTATCGCATATAAGCAAATCGGACCTAAATACTTATAGAAGGGGTCATCGAAAATTAAAAGCTAAATATTAGAAGGATAGAATTAATTAATCCAAATCTATAGATAATTTGATAAATTAAATAGTTTATTAGATGGTTTATTAGGTGGTTTTAGGAGGTTTTAAAAAGGTTTTTTAGAAGATTTAAGTTTACAAGTACTCATTAATTAGTTTTCGACAGTAGAGGAAGATATTAGTTTGAAGAGACATATATAATACAGAATTAGCTTAATACTAGAGCCTTTCGAAGTATGACTAGTCCAATGATAATCATGTTCATTATAATAAAATTCATTTTTCTCCCTCCCTTTCAAGGCCCTATGATTGTCCCTAATTATCTGATAAAATCACTCTCATGTCATTATATTATTATACAATCTTACCAGATAACTACATAGCTATCGTATTCTTTTGGAAAATTGGAACAGCGCTAGCAAGGATAATTACTTTAAGGTTGTTTCAGAGCCAATTAGCTTGCTTTCAAATGGGGTAAAACACCTCAAAATAAAAGTACTAAATAGAATTTCAAAGTATTTAATGAATAATCCAATAAGGAAACGAATCAGACAACCCCAGTTATGTCGTAATCCTAACCCACGATGAGCTTAAATTACTACACCCTTGCTAGCGCTGTTCCAATTTTCCAAAAGAATACGGTCTGTATAAGATGACCTTAGGAGGTTCGGTAGTCAACGAATCATAAGCGCTATATACCCCGCGCACTCGAAAGTTTCTTCTGGCCACAAATATTAAAATTCCGATATGCAACTCGCCATACCTACCTGATTATGACCCAATACAACCTTCCAATTCCGATAATTCAATCCATCAACTGTATATGATACAATCAAACATTGATCGGTGTTTGGAGATTCGCGTGGGACCGGCCTAATTCCCATTGTAGCATTTGCAACTTTAGTCCCTAGGAATTGGCTTGCAGAATCAAAATTTAAGAAAGAACTGAAGCTCCAGGAATTCAAGTTCTGTAAGGATCATTTTTAGAGGCTAGCAATCAAATCAATGTGCTGAGGTTCTGATGGAAAAGTTTGGGTATGGTATGAGGGGGATTTTTCCTATATTATCTAGTATGATTCATATTCACTAGTACGGTAGCTCCAAGTTAAGACATACTTCGAAAGGCCTAGGTCTATCAGCGAGCAAAGCGAATTTGAGTTTTAGATTATTGCATTTTGGATTGGCGTCTAAATGATCATCTAACTACAAACAGTTCTGTTCTGACGTCTCCACTACTCATTTTTCATCATACCAAGCCCATAACACCACAACACCACAAGCCGTGAAAAGCTTTACTAAAAGATCAGTGTCATCATAGCACTCATACTAGTTGCACTCAATTCTGCAAAGTGTCGTTAGTGTAATACACTTCAAGTTTTGAGGACCCCCAAGACACTTTCGGATAAGAAATAGTACTTGAGTAGTACACGTGAAACTCAGATGGAAGCCTTTCCATCAAGGGTGATTCTGTCGCAACAACTTTGAGATTGATAGCAACTGCGCCGCATGTCATATCAAAGTCTGAAACACAACGAGTATCATTTTAAGAATTGCTCGAAAGTCGGGGCTAGAATTGTTTGAAGATCGAAGTGTGGTGTCGAGAGTCGAAGACCTTACTGACGTTGTCCTCCTGCATATGAGCCTCGTTCCTCCTCCTGAAAACCCCGGGGATCTACTTCTCCTTCTCTCAATCTTTCATCAGAACCAACATTGCAAAACCTCCAATTTCCCTTCTTGTACATAGATCACTTGGACCACAAGACCACCAACATTACAAACACCATATAGGTCGGATATACCACAAAACAACACAGAACACCACCAACACCACAAAACATTATCAACACCACCAACACTACAAAAAACCACCAACACCATGAAGACCATAAACACTACAGATGGTGCTAAAATTCCCATCATTCTTGTACAAACAATCCAAATAGAACTGTCATCTTCCTCCATGTGCAAAACAAAAAAATGCCACAGACTGTAGATAAAGTTTCAATCTCCTTTATATAGACACCACGAATATAATGATTCAAATGATTGGCAAACTTGATACAAGAATGTTAATTGAGTGCGTGGTCCATCCGCTTAAAATCTTCTACACACTTGTCCAGGGTAGGAAAGTGAGGTATTGCTGGTGCTAGTGCTAGTGGCGAAACAGTAGAACGAGTGTGAACAGGGAGAGAGATCAAGAGAGATCAAGAGAGATCAAGAGAGATTAAGAGAGATCAAGAGAGATCAAGAGAGAGAGATGCCGACCAGACTTGATATGGGAAGTGAGTTTTTCGACATTATATGTGTAAGAGATCAAGAGATCAAGACAGAGAGAAATGCCGACCAGACTTGATATGGGAAGTGGATTCTCGAGAATGAGGATTTCAGCAGCTTTCTCTTTCGATATCGGAGAGGCCTTGATATGGGAAGTGAATATTTTTTTATTTTTTTTTATTTTTTTGCTGAGGGAAGATAGTCAGTGGGATCACCTTACCGTGCCCTGCTGCACACTCAGGAGCCCAAGGTGGAAATTGCCACTTCTGCTCGGGCTCTCTCCGCCGTCGTTGCAGCTTCACCCCGGGTCCAGGTGGCAGCTCGCGCCGACACTCAGACACTCTTCGCAGACTCAGTTGCGGCTTCAGTGACCACAGTTGCAGCCCGTCTGCCGACCTCGTCGTTGAAGGAGTGTCCGGCGTCGCAGACGCAGACAACGGCAATCGTCCCAACTACCCTCCCCCACCTCTTTAACGCTACCGAAGCCATCTTCAAAAGTAATTTAAAAAAAAGAGCTAGTGTTGATAATGATAAATGCTGGGCCAAATGTTTGGTTGAAACTGTATGAAGAAGAAGAAGAAGAAGAAGAAGAAGAAGGAGAAGAAATCATGTTGAAGATTTTCACAAGAGATAGTAAACAGTAAACAACTTAAGACGGCAGTTGCGACCACGAAGCAAGAGTAACTTGTGTGCCTACCTTGCACTTGCCCTGAATGTACATTTCCTTCACGTTGATTTTGCGTTTGGCGGTAATTAAATCCGCATGAAGCTTTGTGAAATTCACCTGCGCATAAGTACTTGGGCTGATGTATACACTGAAGATATTCGTTTTGGATAGAGATTTAAGTCTTTCGATCAAATCACTCGAGGTACCATCTTTGGGCGTAATACTTCCAGGAGTCTTCTTCCGCTTGTTCAAAACGACAAACCCGCTCGTAGTCAGATGGAATTCTACACGTATGGCACGTAGGGGAAAGATAAATCATCAATGCCTGATGCCAAAAAAGGTGTGAAGGAGTCTGTGAAGTTGGCGTCCGGAGGAACAATAAACAGCATCTCCATTTGTTTTCGCGTACAAGATTACCTGATAGATACTTTTAGGGAAAAATAGATATGAACATGGCCGTCCGAATCAGGCTTGCTGTTATAAGAAAATTGAGATTCTGCTTGTTATAATGCGAGCAAGAGCCTAACGTGAAAGTTCCGTCTGATGACGATTCCTTCCATTTTACAAACACTCTCTCGCGAAGGAGAGGTGGTTCTTGTAGCTAAAGTCCCTTGATCGGAACCAATATGTCCTACTTCCGTAGTTATAATCAGAAATAAATATAGTTAAACAGCAATTATATTTAAAAACCACTAACTTTCGCAACCATGCCGGATTCAAACCAGTCGTGGCTCTTGGAATACAATGAGACGTATGATTGACCGATGAAAGCTAATCTGTGAGTTGTGTTAAAGCTGTTCACAATAGTATATGCTAAAGAGCGTAACCACCACCGCTATACAGATAGCTTCGGGATTTTTCTAAACAGCAGGTGCTATAAGACACAATTCTTGTACACAACACATTATAGACGCAATTTTGTTGGCTCCATCGACAGATGGCGCTTTTATTATGGTATTCGATAGATGGTGTGCGACAGAGAGAAAGGGATAATTGAAACAGCGATGGACAAATAGCGATGAACAAACAGCGATGGACAAATAGCGACGGACAAATAGCGATGGACAGATGGCGCTTTTGTTACGGTAACTGATCGATGATGTATGCGACGGGAACAAAGTGAAAGATGAAGGTTTATCTCATTAGAAACAAATGTAGTAAAGTTGTATTTCATGTATGCTTATGTAATCTATTATGTGCCTTATTTGCGGCCTAACCCTTTTCTGATTAGTCATGAGTAGCATGTTAGTTGTTATTCCGATCTGATTACACCTGAAATATTTGGGAATATATATCTTCAATTCAATTTCCAGTTCATTGTACAACCTTAAATGAACTAATGATACAATCGGAAAGTAATTGATTAGATTAAAGCAATTGAGGGCTATTGGAATCTTGGGACTGAACCCTTCTAATTTGCACAGAGACGTGAACTCCCAATAAGACGCTTCAAATAACTTCAATGGTCTAATTGAACTGTGTATAACACATTTTCAATTTGGAAGTTAGATTCAGGACTAAAGTTATTATTACTAGGCTACCTGATGGCTAGCTAATCGAATCGCTGCTTTCAGGATCTTCATCCTCATAATACTCCGCAGTACTTTTGATATTGATACTCAACCTCTTAGCTACTCTCTGCCACAGCTCAATTAATTTCTCCGCGCTATTCCAGTATATCGTCTTATATTCTCCTGGCTCGCACACCAGAGGCTCAAGCACGAGTTCCCCCGGCTACGTAGTTCCAGTCTGAGCACCAGCAAGAAGAGATCCTGCCTCCGGCCGAAGTAGTTTCAAGACGTTGGTGCAGACCTGTTCCGCATCTATAAGATTGAAGATATGCAGAAGCATGTTCATGTTTACAGCTGATCAAGCACCAGCATTCTTGGATAGAGATGGTATAAAATCCAATATGTTCCTAATGATATGATCAAGGTGTTCAATAGTCCGGACTGCAGTCCAACGATGAAGATTATTAAATCCCCAAATCAATTAGAACATTCAAACCATCCAAGATATTGAAGTTGATTAAAATATTGAACTACTTTCAAATTTCCAACTACTGTTAGATATCCAAACCCTTATATTGTTGGACTGCAGTCTGGACTATTGGATACCCTGGACATGACGTCCAGGCAGAACGCGGTTTTGATCTCGAAATACCGCGTGGCCGATAGCTTCATATTCTGGAATGCCATCTGTTCCGTAAGAGGCAGCTAGACGCACACCATCGCGATATAAAGCTTGTAAATCTTGGTCAATACAGATACAAATTTCGAGAAGGTTTCGAAGATCGTTAGAAGGTCCACTGAGTGGTGTCGATGTGAGCAGTCGAATCAATCGCTGGTACTGCGGATGACGTGAAAGGCCAAAGTGTATAAACCAGGATTTACTGACGCAAGCTCAAGCGAAAACATCTCACGCTGTATAGCCATATTAATCAAGGCAAATCCCAGAGTTTCATTCATGGATAGGATGTAGGCTTACGATATTATAGATGTACGACTCAACTTCGGGTGGTGTTGTACTCCTCGAAAAGTTTTCTTGAAGCAGAGGTAAGCCTATTGCTAGATGATGGCTGCTATCAGGGAGGCGCTTTCACTCGAGACAGATGATTTGTTGATTCGGCAACTTTGAGAAGTTCCTAAGCGGTGGGCATGATTGACAGTAGTATATGCAAATACACTTTAGGACGGTTTACGGTCCATTGTTTGAATGAGCAGAAACCTTTGCAAAGATGAGTGAAAAAGAACAAGTACCTATGTATCTACTGTGTCGTAGAATCGGCATCTAAATGGCAGTGAAAATTTCACCATCATTCTTCACAACAGTTTGCACAGCATATTTTGCGGCATGGAAATGGATGAAAAGACTTTGCTGGCTTTCTTGGCTTTTGAAGCTTTGAGCTAATCGTCAACGGACAGCAAGCCATCATTTCCCAACAGCGTATCACCACTTGCATGCTGTGATTCTGGTAATTGAACAGAAACTTACCATTTGCTTCATAGTTCAGTCCACTCTCAATAGCTCATCATGGAGCTCATGAGTAGTCCTTTCGCCAATGATTACTTCTTCAACATAAATTCTACACATCGAGTTTGACCACTCAAGTTCTTGAGTGCCACATAGGAAGTGGCAAAGAGCCAAGCCTGTAATTTGAGAAACTTGCTTTCCTGCCTCATTTTGAGCTATAAAGTATACATGATTCAGTGTATTGAAGACTTCGAGTCCGGATGACTCATTCTCCGGATTCCGTCTCAACGAGCCGCAGCATGCAAATATCAGCTTCGTGTACAATATAAATCTAGTTAATTTGCTAGAATAATTAGAGTTTTGCCAATACATTGAATTGACACATCAAATTTATATACCAACAAAATTAGCTGTTACATTGGGAGAGAACCTTTCGCCCTTGAAGCTTTAAACCATGTCATCATCAACAGCGTCGTCCCTTGCGACCACAACGAAGTCCCCCAAGACCAATTATCTGTTATTGCTATTGCAGATGTCTGATATAGAGTTGGACAATCAAATAAAGGACAATAGTAAATGGAAGAAGCGGTCAGAAGAGACCACTCTCGGTGTCCATTTTCCGGAGCTTGACAATGCGTCCTTAGGAGCCACCAATCTCGTACTTATTGGATCCAGCATGCTCGAACGGTTCAAAACAACTGGTCATGATCTCATTTTAGGTTCAAAGCCAGTAATTTTCAACGCCGGGGTAGGAGGCGATACAATCCCCAACGTACTTTACCGCATAAATCTAGGCCTCCTCCGGAAAGCCAAGACCCAAGAGAAAGTGGGAATGGTGATTATCAATATCGGTTCTAATGATTTGAAAAAACCCGGTCGAAGCTTGACCGAAGCTCAACTTTACCAATTCGCTCTTCACTTGGAGGCATTGAGAAGAACATTCCCCCGAGCACGAATCGTGGTTACGGCATTATTCTACAAGAAAGATGTCCACCTATTAGATGTTGATAGAAGTAACGAGGATCTACAAAATTTAGTCTCGGGATTGCCTGGTGTGGAGTGGCTAGCAGCACCGGAAGTCGAGCTTGACAACCATTATGAGGATCACGTTCACTTGAACAGAGCTGGTTATGAGATATGGGATAGATGGCTGGTGGATAAACTTGGGATTTAGCAACGGTGATGGATGGATAGTATTCGAGAGAAGCTTTTCGACACGAGGTCTTGGGCAAATGACCACTATATGACATCTACCGCTAATATCGGTGATCACTATAACAGTGTAACTTGCAGTAGACCGCCAACCTGGTTGGGTCGGTATCTTAAACGGGAGCTCAATAGAGACTTCCGAATAATGCCAAGAGGAATTGTTCTCGAATTTCCAGTCTGAGGAAGTACTGCTCCGTTGTCCGTATATGTTTAGTGAAAACCACATGACATGATCCACCTTCCACTTTCCACTTTCCACTTTCCACTTTCCGTCTTCCATCTTCCATCTTCCATCATCCTTCATCCATCTACAGACGACTGCGCTTCTAGAATAGGTTTAGACTTGAGGTACAGCTTTAAAATCATGATGTTTGCGGTTGATGGAAAAGATATTGTGGGGGTTTCAATCCATATTGGGTTATTTCCAAAGCGGTTGTGGCCAAGGCGGCGCTTGAAGTGATCATACTCCATTATAATTTCCGATTCTTGTTAAGCTTGTTTCAATTTTCAGAAACCCCTGAATTAACGATTCGCGATTGGCTATCAACGTGCACAAAGGGGCAATGGAAACAACAAAACCTTGTAAAATTCAATCTATCTGAGAATATGAGATGAAATTACACGCTTGGCTTTCTTGGTACTTGAAAGCGTCATTTCTCCATCTTTTCTTTTGGGTCTCAGATGAAGTCACTAGATTTCGGAAAATACAGACGAAAGTATATCGTTCGAACGTCAAGCAATTGGAGATATAGACTTCTTGAAAAAGTGCTTAGTGTCACTTGTCCCGCAAAGTATGCGCGTACCTGTCTTAAGGTTACAATCTAGTCATTGAACTCTACGAGTGCCGATTCAATCAATCATCTCGTTCGTCCGTTTGCTCGCCAAGAATTTGCATACGGGTGCTAGTATAGGCGTCTTGGCCCTCGTGCGAGTGTCCACGATACCAAGAAATATCCCCAAAATTTCGAGAGTGAGATGCAGGGACTATGCTCTTGGCCCTTTGCAATTGCAGCGAACAATCTCGAAATTCGCCATTTGCATTGGTGTTCCCGTCTTCATCGACTCCATTTTTAAGCGTTTATTCTACATAGCCACCTTGTTTGTCGTCTTGGCTATCATTCTACTCTTCTATGCAACGAATTCTTCGTTTACCCGTGGATCTCCCATCATCAAAATGCTTGGATTGTTTATCGAAAACTGTTGGGTGAGAATTAAGGAGAACTTCTAGATCCTACTTTGCGTCGGATTAATTCCATGGGACTGTTAATCAGATGAACTTAGCAATATAAACGAACAACCTCAGCAGCAACCATTCTACTATAAAGATGAAGATGAATCCCACGATCTAACATCATCACTTCCATCATTCACTTCCACATTCATTACATTCACTAAACACATTACATTCTTTTAACGGACAAGTTCCATTTTTCACTCTTTCAATATGAAGTTCTCAATTGTTTCTGCTGGTCTTTTGGCCGCATTCGCCACTGCTGCTCCAACCCCAACCTCCGACGAGATTGTCAACCGCGCTGCCATCGCTAAGCGCGCCACTGTTACCGACGCCTGCAACATTGGTTACGCCAGTACCAACGGTGGTACCAAGGGAGGAGCTGGAGGAGCCACCACCACTGTTTCCACCTATGCTCAATTCACCAAGGCTGCCACTGCCGGTAACACCGTCGTTGTTGTTTCCGCTCCTATCACCCAAGCTGCCAAACAAGTCAAGGTTGCCAGTGACACCACCATCATCGGTAAAAACTCCAAGGTCGTTTTCACCGGTTTCGGATTGTATGAGCTCCCCTCCCTCGATTCTCACTTGCAATTATATAATCTTATATAATCTTATCTAATCTTATCTAATCTTATCTAATCTTATCTCATCAGACTCGTCAAGGAGCAATCCAACGTTATCATCCGTAACATCGCCATCAAGGAGGTTCTTGCCGCCAACGGTGATGCTCTCGGAATCCGTAAGTCCTCCAATTTTGCTCACATAGCCACTTCGATACAGCAGACTGACCTCCCCTCTAGAAAAATCTACCAACGTCTGGGTTGACCACGTTGATCTCTCCTCCAACAGAGACCACGACAAAGACTACTATGATGGTCTCTTCGACGTGACCCACGCTTCTGACTATGTCACTCTCTCCAACTCCTTCATCCACGACCACTGGAAGGCATCCCTCGTCGGTCACTCCGACTCTAACTCCGCCGAAGATAAGGGACATCTCCGCGTCACCTATGCCAACAACTACTGGAAGAACGTCAACTCCCGTGGTCCTTCTATTCGTTTCGGTACTGCTCACATCTACAACTCTTACCATGACACTGTTGCCGACGGAATCAACACCCGTCTTGGTGCTCAAGTTCTTGTCGAATCTAACGCCTGGACTGGATCCAAGAAGCCTTTGTACTCTACCGATGCTGGTTACGCTGTTGCCAACGACAACGACTTTGGATCTGGATCCAACGAAGCTGAGAAGGGTACCTTGTCCGCCAGCAAGTTGGGATACAAATACACTCTTTTGGGCAGCAGCAAGGTTAAGGCCGCTGTTGTTGGAACTGCAGGTGTTACTTTGTCTTTCTAGATTGAGAGTCAGCAGTACTCTTGATTCTCTTTGGATGATATGAGCACTTTTGAGGAATGGGGGAAAGCTAGTACAGGGTACTTTTAGATTCTTGATGTATATAAATATTTTGGTCAGAGACCGTATATATTAGATGTGAATAGACGGCTCTAGTAGCTCGTCAATGGAAGATTTTCACTCATCTACTTTCCCATGGCAATTTACGTGATACTCTTGATTTTCAATTTTGTTATGTTCCATTATGTATTCGGCTTTGAATTGGACACAGCAAACATACTTCATGCCCAACTAGAAACTAGAAAGAGATGCGAATTAGACGAATGGGGATTGGAACTTTTCGGGGCATTTTATCGCCTGGTTATTCGGATGGACATGTCGTGAGAAAGCGTCAGGACCGAGGAGAAATAGAGCAAGAACACTATTAGTGCGTGTTAAGTCGCATAGGGGACGATAAGGTTCGTGAGCTGTATGTGCTTGGATGGCCAGAATGTATTATACGATTCGCGATAGAAGCGGTAAACGACCCATTAAAGCAGTCAGAAATAAGAGAATAAAGTCATCCAGCCAGTAACACCGAAGGGAAAATCCCGTTGTGTTTTCAGTAATTAGAGCTTTCAGCAAAATTGGTATCTATCGCACAAAGAGAATGCTAATAGTTACTTGTGAGTCCACTCGGCCTTCTTTTTCTCCGCAAAAGCCTTCATTCCGATCTTTTGATCTTCACTTCCAAATAAGCTGTGGAAAACTCTTCTCTCATACTCTACACCATCTCTGAGGGGTAAGTCCTGACTCTTGTTGACAACTTCCTTCGCAGCCTGCACTGCTACCTTACTGTACCCTGCAATCGTCTCGGCAGTACCTAGCGCAGCTTCAATGAGCTCCTCCCAGCTTCCATATGTCCTTGCCGCAACTCCCCATTCTCCGGCTTCTTTGCCACTAAAGTTCTTGCCGGTCAATATAAGTTCCATAGCTCTAGCTTTTCCAATCGCCCTTGTAAGTCTTTGACTTCCACCAGCTCCAGGGATCGTCCCAAGTTTAATTTCTGGTTGCCCAAAATTTGCCTTCTCTGTGCAGTACAATACATCGCACATTAGAGCCAATTCACAGCCTCCTCCTAGCGCATGCCCTGATACGGCTGCAATAATAGGCTTCTTGATGGCGGTTGTGAGGTCTGACCAAGATTCTATGAAAGAGTTGGTGTAGGCTTCAGAGAAGGTAAGCGGTGCCATTTCTTTGATATCCGCACCGGCTGCAAAGGCTCTTTCAGATCCAGTAAGAACAATAGCAGATATGGAGGGAGATTTATCGAATGCTTTAAGTGCATCGTTGAGTTCGTTTATGAGTGGTGTAGATAAGGCATTAAGTGCTTTGGGTCGGTTTAATGTTACTTTGACAAATGTTAGTAAAGGCTTTGATAGAAAACGTAGGATAGAACAAAGTACTTTGTCCTACGCCGGGTCTTGGTTCTGAAGTTTGTATGAACTCGTAGGATTTGGCTGAGTAGGCTCGTGAAAGTGCGGGGAGAGTTGAAGCTGTGAATCGCGAGGCAAGGGGCCTCAATGCTCTAATTGAATGCATGACTTATTAAGATGTAGAATATCATAAAGTTGGACTTTGACACCGATTGTATGAAGCCGTTACTTTAGATCAATAAAATAGGGTTCCAAGAATTCCAATGTTTTGAATATCAAAAGCAGCTTGTGTACGTTTCTACTGAACGCATTTCTGGCAATTCGGGTACAATCGATTATCCTCGGGAACTCAAATCAAATATCACGTGAAAATGGCTACATGCGCGCCACAATCTAAGCCACGACGCTTTCCACGGGGCGAAGGTGCTATTAAAACAGGTGGTCTCGAATTTCGAAAAGTTCAAACTCCAACTACTTTCCGCGCCTACCACCAAACGTCACTCCTTCCAACTCCAACTTCTTCGACAAGAGTTATCACACCTGCAGAAATTCTATACCCTTTTGTCACAAGGACACGCAATTCAATATGGATTCGATAGAACCAGAACAAACCCCTTTCGCGGCTGTGAGCGCGCAAACTTCAAAGATAGGACGTGTAAGTTTATTCATAGATGCGATTGTTGAGTCGCATCATTTGGAAGGGACAAATAGACTAATTCGAAATAAATAGCAATACCAAGCTTGGTTAGATAAATCAACACCATATGTTCCTTACAGATGGTTGGCTACATTTGGGCTTCTTATGATATTCTTCATTCGCATATTCGTCGCACAAGGATGGTATATTGGTATGTTGACTCTTGGTTTCCTTGCGCGTTCTCAACTTACATATTTCAATAGTGGCATACTCTCTTGGAATCTACCTTCTTAACCTCTTTCTCGCATTTCTTCAACCTAAGTTCGACCCCTCCAATGAAGCTATCGATAATGATATGGAAGATGGAGCTGCTGGTGGATTACCAACCAAACAAGACGAAGAGTTCCGCCCGTTTATCAGAAGACTTCCTGAGTTTAAGTTCTGGCACTCAGCGACAAGAGCAATCGGAATTGGTTTCGCTTGTACTTGGTTCGAGATTTTCGATGTACCAGTGTTCTGGCCAGTGTTGGTTGTTTATTGGTTGATTCTGTTCACATTGACCAGTAAGTAATTCCTTGACAGAAGAATAACTTTAGAGACACAGTAGTGTTTCAACATACTGACTTTTTCCGCAGTGCGCAGACAAATTCAACATATGATTAAATACCGATATGTGCCATTCTCGTTCGGCAAGACTAAGTACACCAAAAACAGCTCGTAAACTCAATTGGTTTCGGGATGCGACGAATAAATGACCTGCTCGGGTGACGACAGACTTTGAGAAATGATAGCAATGCTATCTTGTGTACAAATAGCTGTACTTCATATGTGTTCATGAGAGGATTTGGGGAGCAGGAGGCGAAACCCTTATTGATTTTAATTACAATTTTCTCTGTTCCAGTATACTTAGGGGTTCTCTAGGACGTTCAAGGGTCGGGTATAGCTGAAAAGCTATCGGGAGATAGATGATACGAGCTAGTCAAAGTCAAGAGAAGAGCAGCATCGTCACAATATCGCACCTTTCAAGATCTTCGAAGCGTTAGCAAAGCTTCAGAAAGATCCTTTTGAAGACCCCAAATTTCTTTTGGACATTATTCCATAATTTCAAGGTCGCACAACCAAATGATATTCTCAACTTGTCTCGTTTGATAAGCTTATACTCTCATCTATTTCTGGATGTGTAGTATATCGTGAACATATCTTTCCAAACACTCTTCGCCTAGACCGCATCTTTCTATGTAAATCATTCCCTCAAAACATTTTAGCTACCTAGGTAGGCTCTAATGTGCATATATGTGATACTTGTCGGCTATTCATAATATGACCAACCACTCTAGGTTGTTGATAATACCAACTCCGATATATAGAAATTCTAGTATATTCAATTTATTTAAATAAAAATATACTAAAATGAATTATATTGGATTTTGTTATAATTATATTAACTTATAGAATTATACAATAAAGCGAGTTCGATGTGTTGAGATCGGCCTCTATATTCGGTAGGGTTCGTCGCTGTTTTACACAGCCTCAACATACGCTAACAATATTGTTCACATACTCGACCGACATCAGCGCGAACTCCACCCCCTCCCCTTCCACTAAAAGCTATAGTCCTCATTCATTACTGTCATTCGTTTCCTATTTTCAATATTATTGTTATAATTAAAAGAAAGCCAAAAATAGCTATCTTCAAATTATTTAAACTATAGCCTTCTTATTCCGCTTTAACTCAATACCTTTTTACTAATAATATCCTTGTACGTTTATTTATAGTTAGTCGGGATAGGGATTATGTGAACATGCTATCGCTTGCGCTAGCGCCTTTCGGCACTACAGCAATACGTTTCGTAGTCCTAGCTTTTGGAACATTAAGCAATATTGCAACAGTGTGAACCATAGTACTATATTGACTTCACTATCCCCATGGTGATACCAACAATTAATGTTGAGTTGACTAAGGTAGGAAAGTGTCGGTAGTGTAGAGAAGGATGAGGTTATCGTGGGCCTCGCCCATCTAGTCCTGAATGGGATTAGAGGCTCTGCAGCTACATAACAATAAGAGGCGTATCTGGAAGAAAGGAAAATTAAACTAAACCACTGGTACAGTGTTATTTCACAGTATATCGAGGATCATGTAAAGTGAAACAACGCAAGATAAAGTAGTTCTATCTTATAAAACTAAGAAATTGTATATGGGGGAAAAAGAAACCATAGCAGTCTAAACCTATTCAATAAGCTTCTTTCTCAAACTCCAATTCTCGCCCTTCTCAAGTGCATCAAGCCACACCGTAATCCGCTTCACAGACCACCCACCATCGCAATTCTGCACCGCCGCTTCAAAATCCGCTTTCACTGCCCCTTTCGTAGACTCTTCGATCCATTCTGGTGCAATTTTCTGCATTTCGTCTAGAAAAAGGGCGCGGAGCATTGTCGATTCGTACTCTAAAAGGTGCTCCCAATAGAGCTCGTTAATTCCTTCATTATCAAGCGCATCTGCTGCAGACTCATCGACGTTTTCCTCGTCATCCGGAGCGTACTGGTTTCTGTTCGGCTCCTCGTTTCTTTCCCTCCCTTTAAGGAATTCTGGGGAGTCGCAGGCTTTCCATAATGGGAGTGTAGAGACGCACTCCCAGTCGACGATTCCGGTGATGGTGCCGTCATCATCTATTAAGATATTTCGCGAAGATAAGTCGTCATGGAAGAGCACAGATTGCTCTGGAATGGAGTCAGTGGTAGGAAAAACGCTGGGCAGTAGTTTAAGAAGTCTCTCAGCGAGGGTTTTGGCGTCCTGCGCGTCTTCAATCTCGTCTTCGTCGTCGGTTGTTTTGAGAATTCTTTCTTGATCGGTAATGGCCAAGGTGAGACGAGCACAGAGCCAGTCTTTGCTGTTGGTGAATGGTCCTCGTGGCACATCTTGTGTTATATGATCTCCCCAGAAGAAGAACATTGACACTATTTGTCTTGGAGTAAGTGATATCTGTTGTAAATCTTGTGGTGTTCCTTTGGCACTACCTGATGATATATTGGAAGACAGACTCCTTTTTACAAGTTGAGATTCTGGAGTAACAAATATATTGCCAATAGTAGAGAACTTGTGACGGAAAAGCTGGGCTTGGTATCGTACAATCTGCTTTACCAAATTCTGTTTGGAATCCTGGGACAATTTCCTCCATTTCGTTCGCAAATTCCCACCAGGTAGTATAGCCATTAGTATCCATTCAAACCCAAGCTCGTTCTCATTAGTATCATCAAACGTAAGAATCTGGGGCACCGGTATATCCGTAGTTTGGCGAATGAAGTTGATAATTGCCACCTCACTGTTTGTTTTGTTGAAGGGGTCGACAGGCAATGTAACACGAACTAAGAAGCATTCACCTTCAGTCTCGACCTTGTATAGTTTATTGAAAGCCCCTTCAGTATAAAAGCTAAGATGGCAGAAATCATTTTCTTTGAGGTTGAGGTGCTTTCGAGCAATTGATCCGACTTTTGCGATATCCGGCTCAGATGTCCAACGCGGCTCGAGACCAAATGTCTTGGCCACCCATTCCAGTCCATTTTGTTTGATCATTTTCTGGGTACAAAGGAACAATGATAACAAATCGAGGATGCTGAACCGTGAGATAATTAAACTGGGGTGTAAAGAGAATCCGAAGCTCCGCCAACTTGTGATCGGAAATTCCAATATATATTGCTGTGTCAAAACTAATCTGACTAAAGTTTATATGATGCTGTATTTCGGGCTTGGTCGTGAAGATGAAGATTTTAAGCCCTGTACAATTTTGTGATTAAGATTCAGAGAAAAAAAGCTTAAGAGCTATTGGCATAAGGATATCGGTGTGCAACAATCAACCCAAAAGGTGTGTTTATCTGGTCTGGAAAATGGCCTTGAATGAAGTTATGACCACAAGCATCAGCGCCGGATCACTGCTGTCTCGATCAGTTCCTTACAGACCTCCACTCTTCTGTTCACCTTCAATGGTGTTACTTATTGGGATAAGATCGGCTTTTCTTGGCCAAGATTTGTGGTATGGAGGGGGTAGGACAGACAACCCCACTACAACATGTTGGTGGTTAGTTCTGAAGGTTATTAACTTCGTTTCGCGCTTTGTATTTGATTGTTTTGTTGCTAGCGGCTAATTCCCGATGTTAATTGAGTTCATTATCCGATACAAACTGGTTATGAGGTTATCTAGGATAATTGCTCAAAAATTACAAGGCCATTCCCAATCCATCTGTTATGCAAGGATCTACAAATCGTCACATACATAATTTCTGGCAGATCTGGGTCGGTGTTTTGCTCCAATCTATTCGGTCAGGGTAGTAACCGTTGACCTCTTTTCAGAACCCTTAACCTTGCCTTCCACTATTTTGCGTCTGATCGCGGCAGATTTTCATGAATATAAACTCAAGAAGCACCAGATTTGTTCTCTCGTTGTGTTTAATTTCAATGCGAGATATGCAATATCAAAAGATTTTTGCTTTTGAAACCCAAATGGCAAACATAATTTTTGCCATATTGGTGATCGACTTTTCTGCTCCTAGAACCGGGTAGCACATGTATCTTGGAGTCAATAATGATGGGCGACCATCTGACAAGGATACATACCCCCAGGTGAACAAGGATCCTGGGCTTTGGGTGCTTGTCAACCAATTGAAGAAATCATGAAGTGTAGCATGGAAACTCCTAAGTGTTGGGTTGATGCTATAAATATCAGAAGACTCTATCACGAACAGTTGGAGTTATGTGCATAATACTTCATCACATGTATGGCCTATAACTGGTAGAGGCATTAAAACCCTATTTTTAACTGCTCTGGCAAGATGCAAAGAGGTATAAAGTTGAGCATTTCTCCTTGAAAGTCTTTTTTGAACTCAGAAACTATCAGTATTCTTAAACAGCTCTGCCTTCTTGTTAAATGTTTATATACCACCCCTAGATACCCCTCCTACTTTTTAACATGGGCAAAAATACCAAGAGAGCTGAAGACTTCATTGATGACATTCCAGACTCAACGTTGACTGGCTTTCCTACATCTGGAGGAACTATCTACAAGGACGCAGACTTTCGCTTGGACATGCAGGGCGTACGTTATTTTTTACTTCGCCTGTTCTTCACCACTCCAGTATTCAAGGCTAATCATGGCATTAGATGACCACTGGAGATCCTAAGAAGCATAACCTTCAAGTCCAAGTCACTAAGGTGACCACACTAAAGAAGGCAGCACCTAAAACGGTTGCTAGTCTTCTTGTGTTGCAAGACGACCCTCCTTCCGCGGAGACAATCAAGAAGGAGTTGAAAATAAGCGTCAATATTTAAAATGTATGCATCTTTCTTCCACTATCCACTATCTTGACTTGATAATTTCTAATCTAATATTCATTTGACAGATCACCAAAGACTGTTGGAGATCATTTGGGGTCTCTGCATTCATATAAGTTGAGATCCATGCCGGGTTGACTTCGGTAGTATGCAAGAGTTGCGTACTGTAAGGGTGTAAACAAACGTGGCTGTACACTAGGGGGAGCTAGTGCATTGCAACTAGGGAAGGTTCTTGTTGGTACGAGAAGGGTACGGAAGACGTAGCACCCACGTGTAGCATAGGTCCTGTATATCTAAGTGTATTCTATCTCAAGAGCTAGCTATGTATTGAAAGTAGTAAGTCTTATATAGACTTACCGAGAGACCTAGTCTCTTTCGTATTCGCTTGGGGCTTTAATACAGTAGCTATATTACAGTAGCCATTGAATTGAAGTCATTCACTTCGTTCACACCGTTTTTATATAACCTTCCCCCTCCTCTCCTACTTAGTTCCTCAATCTAAGTCATACCCGTCCTAGTACCCTTTTGTTTTCCCCCCTATGCTTCCCACTGTATCTGTATAAAGATCATAGATTGATTGATTGATTATTCCATTGATGTCCTGTATCAGTCTAAGACTATGTAGGACGGCTAAAGCTTGTAGCTCTAGCAAGTCTATCTATTTGTATTCACAAACGGTCCTATAGTGGTAGTCACTAAGGGCCCGTTCGGATCGTTTTTTTAAGCGATGTAGAGCTATGTTTGTTAGCAATATAAATCCAAATAAGCATTTACTGAACACGAATGTTGTTCAATAATCTATATTAATAATAAAATTGAAAAAAAGTGATTTGCTGAATACTTATGTTGAGTTAATTTGGAAAATTGTATAATAACCTTTCTAAGCCTTGCCAAATCTGTGATACAACTTTGATTAGCATTTGATAACATTTGTTAACATTTGTTAACATTTATTACTCTACATTTTGTAGATCTACAAAATTTAGGCTAAATTATTAGTCAACAAATTATTTTATCAACGACTTAAAAGAACGATCCGAACGGGCCCTAAGTATCAAGTGAATTTTAAGGAGCTGGCTTATAGAGATCATTAATTTAACACATACTAAGGTTAAACTGAGGATATAAAGTTTGGGAAGCATCCACTTGCAATATTGATCTAACCTTCCAAAGGCGACTCGGAGAATCTGGAAGGAATATATCTAACTCATACCCTGAGGGTTCTGTAGTTTTGAGTTCTTCAATTGTGAGATTGAGGCAGAGGATTCTGATATATCTGGGGATTCTACTGCTACAATGGATTGTATAGAAGTTCAAAGGCTGTAAAGTGAGATAATTGACTTAGTAGGGATTGATATCGGACTAATCCATATGATATAATTCAGAAATCCTCCCTCATCTAGGAATATCATTGAAAAATTGTTCCTATAGAAAAGGTAGCATGAACTGGTATGAGACATTGTGATCATCCTTTGAGTTTTGTAGAATACTGCATCTGAATCGAGGCTGGAGTCCGATGCGAGGATTTGAGGCCTCTACAGATGTCCTGTTTAATGCTTCGGAAAGAAAAGGGTGATAAAGGTGCTCTGGAATATGTTGCATTTGAAACTCAGGATTTTAGGTTGTCTTATCCCCGATATTGGTACGCTTGAGAAACCTTTTGAAAAGCCATTCTTGATATTCGGCGACTAGTGCCGGGCTTATTGTAACAAAGGGACTTTGAAAAGTTTGTGGAGAATAGTGGTCATTACCTGAAAGTGTTGACAAACATCCGTGATCACTTTGGGACTGTACTTCGTCCATTTCAGATTGTATGAGCGAAGAAGATAGAGTAAGAACATAAATGTTTTCTGTAGAAAGTGAAAAGAGCTTTTGTCGTTTTACAGTTAATAGATCCTTGTTGTTATTGGCATTACTATCAATCTCAATCTCAAATGGATGCCGCCGCTTTTTTCCTTTTTTCTTACTACCATCTTCCTTTTCCTCTATCGCCCATACTACTTCCTGATGCTGCTGATGCTTTCGGAACTCTCTCTTCTTGTAAATGAAGTGGAGATCTATATCTAAGCTATTCTAATCTGAAATAGCTTGAAATACTTTGATCACATTCCCAATCAGGATGCAATGACTGAACAGAGTGATGGAGACGTGAGGACAAGAAAGCGGTAGCCAACAACTGGTATTGTTTATCGAATACTGGAAAGAAGCCTACTTTATATCCAAAGGCACTTTTGTTTTCTCCATCGTTCTTGCCAAACATAACAAGTGAAGAATGATGTGAAAACATCATGGATTTTGCGCGATTTCAATATCACTATATAGGCTGGTCTTTTTCCGCGAGGATCGAGGGGAGTGGTGGCAAGGGTGAGGTTGATCCTGGGCGGGTGTACAAACCGAGCCTTCTTACAGTGGGAAGATGTTGTCGTCTTTTCTAAAGCCGTCGTTTTCGATGTTGTATCTTACTTCATGGCCTGTGTGTTGAATTGGCTTGCTCAGCCCAAGGCCAGCATCAATTGGAGTTGAAGCTGACATAAGATTGGAATCGTTGACCTCCTCATCTTCAAGAATCATTGACCTGTCTACGTACGGTCAGAAAACTGGCAATTATAGCTAACAAGAGCCAATTTATATACCTGGAGTGTGTCAGGGAGCTATGATGCTCAGGAGAATAGATATTTAAGACGGCAAGCAAACAAATATTGAAGGCAAACAATGCCTCCTAAAATGTTTGCTCTTCGCATGCATTATGCAAGTCGCTTCTGCATGCATCGATCCTGTGACAGAGTGCCCCGGCTATTTTGAAGTCTTTCCATCGAGATCTTCCTGTGAAAAAGCCGAGCTAGTATGTTCTCCTTTGATGCGAAGCAATTGTCTGCTGTACCCAAAAATGTTCTATTCTGCCGGATTGTACTTTTCAAAATCGAGTTCTTCGACTCAATGTTCTTTTTTAATATAGTATATTGCAGATTTTCGACTATAGGTGATTCAAGGTTGTGGTCTCTATGGCCGACAGAATCGATCTCTGGTCAAATTCTCACAAGTTAGTTATGATCATCGGAAGTCAAATCTCTCAAAATTGTAACTTACCTGAAAAAGTTGGTTTGTAGCCTTCATCATCAGCTGCTGCTACAACTGCTGTATCGTTCGGCGTGAATTTCTTCTGTGTAGATTCATGACGAGGGATTGAGTTTTTGAGGCGCGAAGCGGTTGGGAGATAGTTATATGGAATAGCGTTGAACAAGGCCATCTCGAAGCAAGTGAGAATGATTGCTTAAGGAATTCTCTGCTCTTTTGATACAATTGAACCACAGAAATGAAGGTAGAAATGAGGGTAATCAAAGATTCAAATATATATTCCCTATTACTGTTGCCCAATACGACGGCATGGTGTGTGATTCACTGTAAAGTCCTATCATGCCATCGACCCTCCATTCGAACATTCTCGCCACCAATAATATCTCGGCTTCGATACATCCACAGAATGGCCACTTGTAGTGAGATTGTCAATCCAACACTCTCATTTCGGATTATGCACATATTGAACTCAGAGACTCTTGGAATCGGAGAGTCCCTTCAAAAATCATAATTCATGATTCTAAGTATGCAGTTAAGCTGTCATTATATCTTACTAAAGAATATTGAAAGACAAAAAATATGTTGAAGCAAACATCATGTATCGTAGTGATCAGAAGCATCGAGTTCAAGGTAGCGAATCAAAAATTGTAGCGAGTAATGTTCCGTCGAGATTTTCAGTTGTAGCGAGGCCGATATAAGAGGAAACATGAAGTGAGTCGATACAGAAGAGGCTTACAACGTATAGCGAGTTTGAATAACCAGATGAGGAAGTATTGGAAGGGAATTGAAGAGGAAGAAAGCGGTTGAGAGGGACCTCGAGAGTGCGATTCTTATAGATGTTGAAAGTGGCGGTTGGCACGTGGACGCACCTTGCCTAGATTAATGCTAAACTTGAGGGGGCATGCACCACTGCTGAGATTATAAATTGATATTTTTTTATATTTGTTTTTAATTTAAATTAAAAAAGCAATTCAGGGTTATAATTTTGTATAAAACTTATTATTATATTATAAGTATTTAATTTAATATTAATTATTAAATAAATCAAGTATATTAGAATTGTTATAAATTAGAGTTAATACTATCAATCACCTTGGGATGATTTAATAGCTGATAAGTATAATTTAGCTTCCTATTCTATCAGGTATTGGCTAATGATTTAAATAAACAGAACTAGACATGACCTGTAGAAAGAAAGTGGAATTTAATTGGACAAAACTTCAGCCACAGCTTTTCAATGGATTGTAGCATCCATACCTAGGTACAATCCAGCCTTGTCACTAGCGCCATTTTCCTAGTGTCTGTCCATCCATCCAGACGCGACATTCCCAAAATTATTAACCTGCGATAATAAATCCAAGCATATCCACGAAACAATCATCGAGCAACAAGATGGCGTCCTCAGCGTTCTCAGCATCTCGAATTGTTCATCAAGAATACATTGCTCGCATACGATATTCCAATGCCTTACCACCACCTCCAAACCCTCCCAAGCTCCTCGACATCCCAAATACTGGCCTTGCCAGTGGTCAATATACTACACCTGGATTTGCTACAAGATTAGCGCGAGATCAACCATTGAATATCGAAGCTGATGCGGAACTTGGTATGCCATTAGACTTAGTGGGAATGCCAGGCATATTTGATGGAGACGAGAGCTGTAAGTTCGCATATTTCTTTGCAACTTGCGCAATCGCTCACTTTTAATTTTAATAGCTATACAAGCACCATTACATCCTCCACAACTTCATCCTCATGATCGTGCTCTCCTCAGACCATTGGCGACACTGGGCAAGCCCAAATTCTCCGATACAGGAGTCTCATTTTTGCGACGTACTGAATATATCTCTTCTGGCTTCACCTCAAAAGCGCGGATGGAAGGCACGACCTCAGCGAAGGCACTTGTTGACACACGGAAACCAAAACCTATCCAAAACCTACCAGCTGATCGCGAATCTCCTGCATATATTAAGGCACAGGTTGAGAAGGGCTTCGAAACAGCCGCTACCAATCTCAAGGATCGCACCCGAGTCCGCCATCCTACCAAGCGAAATGTTCAATTAGTGGATGCAGTTCCCCTTATACCAGATCTTGATGCTTTCCCAGATGCAGGCGGATATGTCCTGTTGAAGTTCCTCACCAACCCTGTTCCTCCAAGCTCTACTTACGACGCTCGGGTTGAGAGCAGTGTTTTAAGACCCGCTGATCCCACCGAGGCAGAAATCGAAATGAAAGAAGCTGCTAGACAAGCTTATGAATTAGATCCCCATAATAACCCAGCTCCGGACGAAAAGATACAATACGAAATGTTCATGCCGGATACGGTTACTGATGCCAAGAATATCAAAAGGAAATTCGACGTTCTGGATCCTGAACACGACGATAGAGACCTATATTCACAATTTGATGAGGAAACGGGCAAAGGCGCGTTCAGACTGAAGAGACTTCGTGCGTATGAAACAGTTCAAACGAGCGGTGGAACGGATGACAAATATGATGAATATGTGGTGATAGCTATGCATGATGGGACCGATGGGTTACACCAAAAAGCCGCCCATTACTATCCTGTCGTCCAACGAAGTTCCATCAGACCACAGAGAACCAAGAATATTCAAAAGATGAGGCACAATATTAGCGGCGAAGAAGAGGAAGTTTTGGATATGGTGGATCTGAGCATTGTTGACCCGAGCGCGGAGACGAAGCAGGTGATGGAAGGATTCAAGACTTGGCCGTATGGAGAGAACCATGAGGATGACGCAGAGAGAGAGGCAGCCGAAGTTGAGGAGGCGCTCTCTGAAGCAGATGCTGAAGGCGAGGACGATGACCTGAATTCGCCTGTAAGACCTAGTTTGGGTGGAAAGACGATTGCGTCTAGGGTGCAGAGTGATGAGGACGATGACGATGATAATGAGAGTTTACATTCCGAGGATTAAGAAACATCGATCTGGGCGAGGATCTGCATGGGAACAAGACTGTGAGAAGGACATTAGAGAGATGAAGCAAAGAAAGGAGTGAGAGATAGTGGAAAATGCGCATATGTGCATATCAAACAAATATCTATCGAGCAATAGATACTTAATCATACAGGTCTACTTCGATTTCGCATAGCAAGGGACGGCGTTCTTTGAGGATGATTGTAGTTACACAGCAGAAGAGAAAGATGTGAATAAAATGATACCTACACGTACCTTAAGTCAAGATATCGTGGGCAATCTAATGAGGACTTGAAAATGAGCATCAAAATGAGAACCAAAGTAACCACTCTACAACGATGCATGTTTGTAAGCGTGATATTCATGATATGTAATTAACCAACTATATGCACCTATCCTACCCTGTTCTAGCCTATCCTATTCCATAAAAACCAGCCTATTCCCAATCAAACCCCAACGAACCAAGAGAAAGAAAACGCCTTTGCTAACGTGATGCTATGCTTGCGTATCTGTATGTTTGCGTGTGCGTATATTATGCTTCTAAATCCAAAATGACTGCAACGAGAATCTCGTCGCTAAATTACATTCTTGTCTATATCCCCACCAAACGACTCTACCCCTATCTTATTTGACCGATGAGGAAAAAAGGTAAAGGATCGGTGAATGTTCGTATCTTGAGGTCAAGACTATTGAGCGAAGACTTAGATTCTCCAGTAATTCCTCACGTTCTAATGATTATCTCATCTTCTATTACTCCATTTACAATTCCACACTCGAATCTGTACATTTAAACCACCAATTTCTCTTCAAACATGCTTCCTTATGTTTTGGTGTCGCGCTAGGCGTTGGTTTTACATCAGGTGAAGGATCAACGCATACGAAACCAAACCAATTTTTTGAGGTGCATGTTTGAGTTGTAGTCGACGGGGTTGATGTTGTGGGCGAGGGGAGAGGTGGTGCGGAAGTTATGGAATGGGATGAATCTTTTGTGCTCGATACAGAGACGGATGTGGAAGTAGAGGTAGGATCTTTGCAACCAAACCAGCCAGGATGCTCACAAGTTGTTGTTGCTGTGGTACTCGTAGTAGAAGAGGTGGAAATGGGTGTATGTGGCACTGAAGTACTGCTGCTTTTAGTGGTAGTTTTCTCATCTTTACAGCCAAACCAGCCGGGGGTTTTGCAAGTTGAGGTTGATGTTGATGTGGTAGTAACCGGTACGCTAGTCGTAGGCTTGAAGGTTGTAGATGCATCTTCATCTAAGCAGCCCCACCAGCCAGGCGTTTTACACGTAGAGGTACGACTCCGAGTGTTCGTGGTTGACGTTGACGTTGATGGCACTGACGTGGCAGTGCTACTGCTGTTACCTTCTACCTCTTTCCAGAGTGGACAGTCTACGCATTCCGGTGTAAATTTGCAGACTGGTACCGTATCATAGACTTTGATGATTTGCTCAATAACAGTTATGATCTTGTGCGACCAGATATGTACTCCCCACCCATGATCGGCTACAACGTCATAAACACACTCCATGCCGCTATGGCATGAGCTTTCTAATGCGTATCCAGCGTATGAACAAGAAGCGGTAGCTCCATTGCACGTTCCCAAATAGATCGGGTCGGCAGTATGTCCAAAATGATAAGCTCCAGTAAACTCACGCTTCTGTGGTGTACTTGGATTGTGACCTGGTGGCGCTGGTAAACCTAAACGACTTACGGGTAGAGCATCTGGAACGGCCTCGAATGTAACAACAGGAATACCATATGTCAGCCCTAACATAGAGCTGACCGATCCGCCAAGAGAGTGACCTGACATCCACACGTTTGCGTTAGGATAAAGAGCTGTGACATTGGAGTAGAGGTGTCGAGCCGCGGTGTAGTATCGATTTTCAGATCTTAAGCTTTTCTTGAGGCACGATACATTGCAAGTGTAAGTTCCAGTAGCACAATCGCAAACTTGTCGGTAGAAAGAAGCACCTTGTTGGCCACAACAACAACTGAAGAACAAATTGTCGTTCTCCTTATCGTTTGTAGTTGTCCCATCTCCATCGTACACCGCAAGACTCGTTCCTTTTAATCCTATGACAATTGTTGAGTTTGACTCATCCATATAGATATAACCTCGTAGCCCGTCGGCATCCCAGCCGAATCCATAGTCATCGGTTCTATTAAACCCCCCATTGACGTCCTTCCAGTCCCCTGTTTCTGGTTTGTCCACATAGGCGTTCGCTGCCATTTGTGCC